CGGCCCCCCCCCCCCGTTTGAATCGGACGATCGCGCGGAGCAAGTTTCACGGATTCTCTCGCGTACAATCTCTCGTTGACGCGCAACAAGGCGACGCGGCGGAGATCGGTTCGGTTTTCCAGCGGGCAGGGGGGGGGGAAAGACATTATCCGTCGCGCGCGTTCGCGCGAGGCGAGCCGCGTAGCGCGCGTATTAGTAATGATAATGAGGTGGCACATTTCGCGAGCCGTCCGCGCATACCGTCACGCGAGCGCGCGCGGGATCTCCACCGTTCCGCGGCGCGGCACGGACGCAACGCCGATCGATTTCATTCCCAGCCGCGGAACGCGCGCGAGCACGTGCACGCGGGGATCTCGTTCGCCAAGGCCGTCCAGGAAAGCGGGAGTTCCGCGGCGGTTTCGCACGGTTTCGCCGCGATGGCCGGTCGGCCGATCCACCGGCGTTGGCGAATCCGTGCGCGCGCGAGATTAGTAAAAAAAAAAATTAATAATAATATCACGCGGGAGAGAAGTGGAGAGGAACGGAAGCGGGAAGAGATCCGCGCGCGTCCGAACGCGCCCGTTGGTCCCACGACGGTGGAATCTCTCGACAAACTGACACGAGGACGTGTCGCGAAGCTTTCGTACGCCTTCGACGTTCGCGGCGAAGCCGCGCTCCGTGCTATCGTAATTTTACTGAATCACGACAGACGGAATTTAAGTAGGCAGAATTTTCAGATTTACAGAAGTCGAGTGTTGCCGCGCAAATCTTACGCTCGTCCGGCTGAATACGTTTTCTTTTTATGAGCTCTGATCTAATGCCGCACCGGTCTAGCTGAAGGTGTACCCGGAAGTGAATCAGGATACTTACGATGCCTTACAGTTCATAGGAAAAAATAAAGCGGTGTAATTGCGGGATCGGAATTTTGCTACTGTTAAGCAGAGCTCGCGTAATTCTTTACACATGTTGCCTTTATCGACGTATCTTTGTTGTTTATGAGGATAAACGATCGACTAATAGATAATCCTGTTTCGCAATTAGAAGCCGCGGCGCTTTTTATTCTCACAATTAGAGGCTGTAACTGCCTGTATCGTTAGTGAGGACTGCGCGTTCTAAAGTATCTCCGGCTTGAGCTGGAGGTCGAGACATTGGTCCAGATGTCGAGCCAACCGCGAAAACCGCGAGTAGTCGAGAAGCGTGCCTCGTAAAACTTTACTACCAGACTACGCCGCAGTTTCGGTACCTTAACGTAACTTCCTTCAACAGGATTGACTTTGCACTGCGGTGAAAGGAGGTTTGCCGGCCACCCAATTAATATGTCGTGCCTGTAAAATAATTAGTAACAGGAGCTTCCTATATGTCAGCCGAGTTCCACGTAAAAGGCCTTTCGTTGTTACCGTAGGTCTGCGCAAGCCACATAAATTACCAGTCGCGTTCGTTTCCTTTCTTTTAACTCCGGTGCAAAGTTCATCCTGTACGATTTCATCCACGTAACACTCCCGCGATCGGTCCCGGCGAGAGAGACCGGCCCTCGCGGCCAATCGCACGCGATCGAGTGGGTCTCGTGCGCGTCGAGTAGACAAGTAGCCATGTACCGTGCCTTTCCAGTGAGGTATACTGCCACGGCGAGCTGCTGCACACGATACAAATGGCCGGCATATACAAGGACTCCAAGTACTTCGTTGACATGAAGATGAAGCGGCCGGCGAACGAGACGCTGGCGTCGTTCCAGGCCTTCATGAAGAGCATGAACCACGCGCCGAACAAGCACCAGGTGGAGAAGTTCGTCAACGACACGTTCGAGATGCCCGGCCACGAGTTCGAGGACTGGGACCCGGCCGACTGGACGGCCACTCCCAAGTTCCTGCAGAACATCGAGGACGACGAGCTGCGGAAGTTCGGCTCCGATCTCAATCACATCTGGAAGCTGCTGGGCAGGAAGATGCGGGACGACGTGAGGATCAACGAGCAGCTCTACTCGATCATCTACGTGCCGCATCCGGTGATCGTGCCCGGCGGGCGGTTCCGCGAGTTCTACTACTGGGACTCGTACTGGATCATCAAGGGCCTGCTGCTGTCCGAGATGCACAGCACCGTCAAGGGCATGCTGGACAACTTCGTCTCGATAGTCGACAAGATCGGTTTCATACCGAACGGCGGTAGGATCTACTACGCGATGCGCTCGCATCCGCCGCTGTTGATACCCATGGTGGACGAGTACCTCAAGACCACCCGCGACGACGCCTGGCTGAAGGAGAACTTCTGGCTGCTGGAGAAGGAATTCAACTTCTGGCTGACCAACCGCACCGTGGACATCGAGAAGGACGGGATCAACTACACGCTCGCCAGGTACTACGAGGAGTCGTCGGGTCCCCGGCCGGAATCTTACAAGTGAGTACCGCGACTTCGGCAATCGTCTGGATGACGATGCAGATTTCGAGAGGAACTAGATGATCTAGAGTCGAGGCAAATGAGTTGAATAATCCCCGTGGGATATTATTCTTGACGATACTGTTAGGCCTGTCACCTTTACGCCGGCGCTCGTACCCGGTAATTCTTTTGTGCGTTGCGCAACCCTTGCATCGCCCGCGAGCGATTCTGACCGTCTCGCAAGGCGCGTCAACGTTAATTTTGCGAGTCCTATTGATAATTAGCGACACCAGTCTCACTCTCGACGTCGATCCCGACTCGGTTTCCGGCCACGTTTCTTTCTAATCTCACGACTTGATGATCAGGGAGGACTATCTGACGAGCCAAGGTTTTCGAACCGCCGAAGAGAAGGACAATTATTATTCGGAATTGAAAACGGCGGCCGAGTCCGGATGGGACTTTTCCAGTCGATGGTTCATAAACGAGGGTACCAACAAGGGTAATTATCATTCCTTAATTGCTTCCCGCGCGATTAAAATAGAAGTCTTTATGGGTGAGCGACGTTGGGCGCAATAATATTATACACGTGTGCGATTAAAATAGCTTTGATGGCCGGATAAAGCGTTGTTGTCACAGAGACGACAGAAAATGACACCGCGTCAATTATACGATCGTAATACGCCGATAGCTCTAATTCGGCAACGAGGGAATAGGTGCGTTTACGCATACGCGTAGAAAAAGAATGTAGAATATCCCGCAACTAAGGTAACTTTTTACGCGCAGATTATCCGCGCGCACAATTAATATCGAATGCTAAAAGAAGCCACGAGAGCGCAGAAGTCTGTTCGTAATTTTTTTTTAATGGATCAAACCGACGCTATAATGACGTATTACATATACACGCGCGGCATTACCCACAATTATCGTGATATTCCACATTAAACACCGTATCTTCAATGAGATCTGCGCGCGCTTCAAGGCCCTGCGTCTCGTTTCCTAAGTGAAAGCATTGTTCGCGGCATCGGTACTCTAAAATCCATTTTCGCAGAAGCACGTGTTGCAACTCGTCGTTAGATCGTGCCGTTTCTGCGGCGTTTAGGCCGCCCTACCTCGCTCAATTCCATCGCAATGAAATTGAAGACGCGATTTAGCGTGTTTTAAAGATTGTCACGATGATCCCTTTACGGATAGCTTCGATATAAGGAGAGCTCGTAAAGGCGGGCTCCAGGGTCAACTGGAGATTGATAGCGAAACGGATTCCAGGTAATCTGACAAATCTCAAGACCAGATCTATAATCCCGGTCGATCTGAATACCATAATACATCGAAACGCCGTGCTGCTGGCGCAGTACAGTCGTCAGATGGGCAACGAGACGAAGGCCGCGTATTATGACGATCTGGCTGAGAAATGGAAGGAGGCGATCAAGATGGTGTTGTGGCACGAGGAGGTGGGTACCTGGTTGGACTACGACATGCTGAACGACATCAAGCGGGACTACTTCTATCCGACTAACATCCTGCCACTCTGGACGGACTGCTACGATACCTCGAAGAGGACCGAGTACGTGTCGAAGGTGCTCAAGTACCTCGAGAAGAATCAGATCATGTTGAATCAGGGCGGTATACCGACGACGTTGGAACACTCCGGCGAACAGTGGGACTATCCCAACGCCTGGCCGCCTCTCCAGTATTTCTTCGTCATGTCGTTGAACAACACGGGCGATCCATGGGCCCAGAGATTGGCCTACGAGATCAGCCAGAGATGGGTCCGTAGTAACTATAAGGCTTTCAACGAGACGCACAGCATGTACGAAAAGGTAATTTCCATCAAGAAAAGAGAACAAAAAGAATACGAATTCTCTCGTGCATCACAATTTTGAGAATAAATAAATAAAAATCGTTATCGCTGTCGCGTCGAGGAACGAAACGCTAATGTCGAATCGCTTAAATTTTTTCGCTTCACCGAGTCTGAGCTTTTCCGCGTGCAATTGTTCGCCGAGAAAAAATTTCTAAGGTGAAGGAATATTTTTTTTCCGGCAGTACGACGCGACCGTCTCAGGTGGCCACGGTACTGGAGGTGAGTACGAAGTACAACTTGGTTTCGGCTGGTCGAACGGGGTCATTATGGTATTGCTGGATGAGTATGGTGACAGGTTGACCGCGGAGGATTACTTCTCACCGGACGCCGTGGTCGAGAATGCGGCATCGCCGCCGGTTGTTTCGACAGCTGGTCAAATGCTGACCGGGCTTCTAGCTCTTATCATATCATTAGCAGCAGGATTTATAGGGTGAGGTGAGTGTCGAGTAGGTGGACAGAAGCACCTTTACAAGGAGCTGGAAAAGACTTGTACGCATTTCAATTGTGCGAATTTTATTTGTAACAGCTGGTACTTTTTCTAAACTTATAAAATCGCACCCGAGTCTTTTTCACCGATTAACCAGTGGTGCGTACGAATTAAAGGGGCATTTCCTTTTGCTTTCTGTTTCAGATATCCACGTGATCTAAATCAGCTAGCATAAAATTTGCGAAAAGATACGTTAGAAAGATCGATACGCATCGATCGATGATAATAGATACTTCCAGTCTTGAAGAAGCCGAAATCGATTTAAATAATATGTTTGCTCTTCTTCCTCGCTCATTCGATTTGTATGATTTAATAATCGAACGACCGATGAAGAGAGCGTAAAACGGGTATAAAAGGACCAAATAGAAGCAAGTGCGGGCACTGTTCTTCTTATATTACTGTAAGACACTCCGAGTATGCGAGGGGGCCTCGAAAACGGCGTCATTTTTACTCTCTTGCCACAAATGCTTCCAAAGAATATTCTATAAGCCGCAGGATATATTATATATTGACGATGTTATTTCGCATTTAAGTATCACTCTAGAAGGAACATGAATTCTTGCTGCTTTACTTGCGATATGTTATTGATATCGTACTTAGCAATTGTTTAAATTTATTATGATATTATTATGCGATATTATCCATCATTCCATACGCTCGTCGTGGATTATTTTATCAAAAAATATTTTATTAGTAGTATAATAGACATAATCGGTGTCATCTGAGATTGTCTCAAAGACTATATCGCCAGTACGCCTGAACATATCTACAACCATGTGCCTTCTCAGCTATGAAATTATGTTATATTATTTATACGAATGTCGTAGCCCTTCTCGCTGACGGATAACGTAGACAGGATCTATTATCGCTAGACAATCGTCTATTACTTAATCACTCCATCAGACGTGCGCTGTTACGAGGTATATTCTGTGATCATTTAACGAACTGAGTTCGCTGGTCGAATTACGTTCTATCATCCTTCCATCGCAGGAATTTATCCTTTATCCTTAGATCTAAAACTTTGAAAATACCGCAGGCGATTTCTCGAATTTAGTCTACGACATTATATATATATGGTATATATATAAACTGATGTATATTATTTCATTTTGAGATTAGCTATTGATATACATATATATTACTGTACTAGTATTATTAGGGTAGATAAATTATTATATCGCGCATATATCTATGTAACAAACGAACGACGTCTCCAAGATATTCCGGGGACAGTCGGAGCAAGGTTCCTCGACAGGAAGGGGGAAGGATATTATGAAAAGGTGCAAAATGAGACAATTGAGGGAACAGTTCGGCAGGACTAGTTACAAATAAAAGATATAACGGGAAAGACTCCGCTCGTTCTCTTATCTCGGAGAAGAGCGGACTCATCTAGTCAGTTATACGTATGGTGCCTAGATACCTTTTACTTTTACGAGTCGCAATGGCAAGCATTGTGAAGGCTGGGCGTCGCCAAAATTACTCCTCTAATCTTCGTCGTTGCCCGAAGAGTGCCTTATATATAACTTGGATCTAAAACGGGCGGATAACACGAGTATTAAACAAGTATTAAACGAGTTGAGGAAAGCGCGAGATAATGGACAATAAACGTACAACCGTTGACGGTTGACAGTCCATAACGATGACAGATAGTTTGCTTTCAATTCGCGAATTGCCGCCTCTACATTTTATTATTCTCTCTTGCCCATTCGCAACAATCATACGTGGTCAAATCTGCGAGCTCGACATATATACGCAATATACTTGGCGAAATATTGGGGCTATGATCTCAATAAATTACTATGTCTACATTCGTCGAATCTATCGAATAGATTCTAAAGAAAAATAAAGAATAGAGAAAACTTGAGAGACGCATCTTTTGGAAGAAAAAGCGGCTTATCACACATCTATTTTATATATTTAAGATAATTTACTTGATGAAACATGAGGATCTAACATAAAAATATCATTTTGTATGCATTTAAATATCGGTACTTGTCCACAAAGTCCTCGGGTAGCGCGCAAACGACATTAATGAACCCGCTGATTGCTTTGTGTTTTCAGAAAAAAGTACCGTCATTTCTTTAGAACTCTTTGTTATTTCAGCCAAGATGACATTTGACAACGTGAGAGAGTGAGCATGAGTGAGTGTGTACAGAAAGATCGCGTTTGTCTCGTCCTAATAGTATTGCACGGTCTCTTCTCCAGTCGTAATTACCTAGGAACAATATTGGAGGAGAGCAATTGTTTTTTTTCCCCTTTTATTAATCGGGCGTCACTCCCTCTTTTTTCACAGTCTGTTTGTGCGAACGCGAATAGTGTGTTACGCATGCTTCCTACATCCAAGCTCCTTGTACGATAACTTAATAAAATAAATAAATCGAATGTCCACATGTAACCCATCCTGCGACACACCGAGTGTTGCATGCAGCCGTTTGCGTTATTCTGTAACATATCCGTAAAAGTAATCTAACCCGTAAAGTAAGAAAAAGGAAAGACATTTGGGATACGGTCATCGAAACTAGATCTGATAAACACGCTCCTTCGTTCCGTTTGGTAAGTCTGCGTCTAATGTGCAACCGCATGTGTCAAGGATCAGTTGTGAAGGAATTGCATTTCCGAGATGAATTCGTTAAACCAGTATCCTCCGATCAATACGATATTGAGCCTCGATGTACACGGTAATCTGTATTTGGTTTTTGTTACGTGTAATTAAAGCAGACACAGTTACAACAGCATATGCAGTTCTAAATGCGGAGGAATGTATTGTCAGCTCGCAAAAATGTTTCTTGTGATATTCGAGAGAGCCTTTTGTTGTAGCAATAATTATTCATTTATCGCGTTGCGCGAGTGGAAGTTTTTGCGCACAACAAGCCCACCTTCGATGGTGCTTAGACTGCCATCAATGGTAATTACGCAGATAACAGTCGAGCCGTGATGATCATACAGGGTGACCCAAAAGATGCGTACCACGAGGCAGAGAATCAGTCTGAAGTATTTAAAGACGTCCTCTTCGAAAAAGATTCAATCCGAGGGAGAGAAGCTTCAAGCATCTAAACCTTTGCGAAGTCGAGAGCTTTTTCCTTAGATCAAGATACTTAATTTCATCCGGAAAGAAAAGATTCCAAGATTATAAAATACGACCGTTCCAGAGTCCTGAATGTCCAAACCGTCGAGTTCTTGATTTATTCATCAAGATATCCGAAAAAAAGTAAATGTCTCAACTGTGATTTGAACGATATGGACCTCAGGCACAATTAAATGTGTATCTCGGATTCAATTTCTACCGGGAGGCAGGGTCTCTGAATGCTCACAGAATATTTCTTGCCTTCAAGAGTGACGCGAATTTTTAGGCGAACGCTTACACGGAAGGTACGCGTAGCCGCGGAATCTGTCACGACGTGTTATCGCGATAAGTGTGATGAGACTACTAGTCGTAGCCATCGGCACTCCCGCGGAGGTACCGATGTAATTTGCCAGCACCAGCACACGTGCTGGCGCAGAGAAAGAGGAGGAAACGAATGGCCGCCAGTGAACAATACACGTGATGTAGGCGTGACTGCATTTGCCATTCAGACTTTTTGCGCAAATTCCTGTCGGCGTTAGATCGCGCTCAAGGACCGACCTGCGATCGCATTGATAAAACGCGGTAATCCCGTACGCAGCGAGCTATTCGCGTCGTTGATGAAGAGACGCGACGAGACGAACGCATCACGCGAAGAAAACATTTTCGGGAACGGAAGACTTAATTTGCCGATGCGATAGATTAAGAGGGGAAGACAATTGTAGTACACTTTCTTCGACTGCGACAAACATGTGGAAGGGAGATCGCTTCTGTGAGGGAGACGTGAGGGTTTATTTATAATAGATTTACGAGAACTTGAAGACATTTAAGAAATAATCTGTGTGTTTGGAGTACAATTAAGTTTTTTAACATCTCGAAATGAAAGTAAAAACTTTTCTCCCGCGTTGCGAAGAAATTGTACATATTTTTCCCCTGGAAGCCGAGAGAGTGACTTAGGTGTTTAGGTTTCGCGGGATAATTTATGAAATTACATAATACCCTAGTAATACTAGCCTGATAATTGTACAGTGATATTTAAAAGAATTAACTGGGCATGACACTTTTATAAAGAAATTTCGGTATTGCCACAACACAATTACTGCTCGATATAATCACTATTATAGTTGTTAATTATAATTACTGATAACTATTTATAATATCTGATCACAGAATTAAAAACCAACGCACGCAGATGGATGATAATCAAAGTCCTTTGCCGATTATACTTGTTCGTAATTAGAAATGGAAGGGCCTGTAGTATCGTTAATGATAACAAGTTGTAATTTGTGAGATAAATTTCCATAATTTCGTTTAATCCATATATATTTTCTTTTTTTAAGAAATTAATTGTGCACGTGTCTTAATTGATGTCTGCTCTTGCAGGATGGTCATGTACAAGAGGCGGCATTATTACGCGCCCGGTCCGTCGACGTTGCCGAACAAGAGGAAGGTGCTGTCGAGCGGTAGCAATCTGTACCGGAAGCGGATTGCGTACACCGAGCTGAAGGACATGAACAACGATTGATGACCGCTCGTTGTCTAGACCGAATATCGATTTGTTACATGACTAGTGAAAGCAAAAGAAGCAGAGAGAAAAGCGCGGCCGGCAAGAAGCACCAGGATGGAATCGGAGTGTCGGATGAAGAGACGTTCCGCTGGTTGCACGCCAGCGCGGGGGAATAATACGCTCGCAGAAGGAGAAGAAGAGCGGAATATTAAACAAGGATGGAAGAGCGTCTGGTGAAAGAATGCAGATGCGTTCGAGGATGGAATGGCGTGACACCGCTTCGGCAAGGTCTTCCAGCTTGCAAAACCAAACAGTGACAGGATTGACGATCGCGCAGGATCCTGGAGGCATGACCTGAGAATTAAGTACTTGATTCTGGCTGCGTTTGGTTCAATGCAGATTCAAGATAAAGAAGAAACAGGAGTAGATTAATATGTAAAAAGAAAATAGGATAAAAAGAGAGTGTACGTACGTATGTATATGTGCGTTATGTAGGCACGTGGAACGGCCTACTAACGATAGCTGGATTTAGTCTTAATTTAGTGGAATATCAGACGAAAGAATGTAATGAAGTTTATCGTAAATTTATCATTATTTATTGAATTCACCGAGACGGAAGGGATAGTCGCGCAGGTGCTCGACAGTGCCTCTTAGAGCAGGACTCGTTTGAAGGAAGAAAAGACTTGCTTTACTAGGTTCGATATTACATTTCATACGCTGTTTTTCGGGCTAAGATTATCTTTAAGGATAATTTTTTCACAAGTGTGAAAAAAATCGATCAAACGACCATTGAAACAAAGTTAAACCCTACTGTGCCGTTCAGAAGAGTATAACGACGATTAATTCTGCACAATGTTACGTATATCTTGAATAACTTTTTTTTTCGCGGCGTGAAAAGTGCGTTTTTATGAGTATTAACGCTGTAATGACTCACGAGAGGCGATTTTATAACGAGGTATTTTATAATAACAGATACTGATTGACAGAAAATGAAAACAGTGGCAAAAACGAAGACGATGGACTCTGCTATTCGCGGATACAGATAACTAATGCGTGCGTGTAAATCTGGGAGAATGACGCGTATGCATGCAGTTTATAGAGTGCGACATGTCACGTGTGACAGAAAATCACAAAATCAAGTATAACTAAGTATATATATATTGTATATATAATTATTGTATATGATATTAATTATATATATTATATATATAGATTTTATTATATATATATATAATTTAGATAACTGTAGATAATGGATAATTGCCAACACTACAGATAAATTATTGAGAGAATGTTGTATTTTTGCTGATATTTTTATACGTGAGCGAGCACGTTTATCTCGCGTAACTAGCGATCGATTCACGGGCGTCCGTTCTGTTAAAAATCTATAACGCCGTTGTACGACAATTTATCGGCATCCTTAGTCGTTCGCGATTAGAGTGACTTCGCGATGTATAAGAGATTGAAAGTTCCTTTGCCAATCTTATGACAGAGTTTTCACAGCGCTCAATTAGTTTTTATTCAGCCAGCTCTAGCAACTCCATGATTTCTCGTGGTATTTATATTTTGTTTAGCGTAAGAAATAAGGCTGCTAAGTAGAATTATTCTAGGGCTGTCGCGGAAGAGCTAAGAGTGTACATTTTACGTTCGTGTGTGTAACTTTGCTCTCTCGTTACGTATTACTAAGCGCGAACGCGATGACTCGAAACGATAATTTTCGCACGGCGGTAGGGCGTTTCTCGATGACGTTGCGGATATCGCGGTCTCAAATGTACAGACGAATATTGGGTGATATACATATACATATGCATATACAAATCTTATTTCTGGCCAGTGTGTGATACGAAAGTACCTGGTATCTTTTTCTTCGCGACGTCTTCGAGAAAGCCTCTGACGGATTGTACGGGACTTCTCACTTGTTCCACACACTGTATGACTTAAGTTAATTGTAAATAGTTATTCATACACGTTAACGCATAGGGATGAGAACACGTGGGAGAATATCTGACTAGTGTCGTGTGTAAGTCGTAAGAAAAATTCGATCTATTGACAAGAAAAGACCTCTTTCCTACTTCTTTTACGTATTCTTTTTATGATAGATTTTTAGAAATTACATCAAGAAATAATTATCTCTGTATTACTTGCATATAAATAAGAACAGAGAGTCCGTTAGATTCCTCAGATTGTTAAATTGCCGTACGCGACGCATTTAACGGAGCGCCCGGGGCAAACGAAACGGGGATAATTAAACGAAGATGCATTCGATTTAACAATCTTTTGGAAAATAAAGTCGTCGGTTTCGTTATAATATAAATAGAGCGTTTGGCGTCGTGCTTGCTATGATCCTTGCTCTTGTTGCCGTCTGCTTATTTTTAGACTATTGCGGCCGCAATACGTACATGGATCATGCGGCGCGTAGTGCCAAGAGATACGACAAATCGGCGAATCTAGGGTGAATAATATTACGTAAGAATTAATCGGCTGAAAATATTCTAAAACGTACAGCCGCAAGATTTAGAATTTAGATTTTTATTTAGTATTATTATATTTAGTACACATTTCTGTAGATAATTCATTCGAATGTATTGATATCGCCAGATCTTGATCTCGAATGAATCTTTGTTTAGATAGCAGAAAAAAAAATAATTAGAGAAAGATATCTTTATCGTTGAGTGTTAGCGTGTATCATTTTTCGCCATAAGTACGCTCTGTAAATAGTTCCTTTCTGTCTTTTTTCAGATTTGTAATTAGAACTCTTATACTAATTGCGCAATCTTTTGCATCAAATTGTTTTACAACTCGATTTTTATCCATTTCGCATTTGTACATAATTATACAATATTAAAAGAGCATTAGAAGGGACTCTGACATATGAAATGTCATGGAATTGCAATCGTCTGAAAATTTATTGTGTCGCAATATATCTATGTCATCAAAAACAAAGTTATTTGATGCAACGGAATGCATGTTCTGAATCGCCAATTTGTGATTACGACGAATTTATCTCTTCTTTCCCGCGAAAAGAAAGAGAAAGAGCGACTGTCTCGGCCTCGTCAGAGCAAGAATGTCTGAGGGACTAAATTCGACGATACTTCATGTGCTATTATCCTTCCTACGATTGTTCGGAAGCTGAGACGCGATGCCAATGATGCCATAGCGACGCGGTTGCATGTAATAAAGTTTTACACGAATACCGACTAGATATAAGCGGAGAGATCGATTTGTTAAACTTTGTACGACGGTGATTTTGTGAATCGCGCGCGTCCGGCGTTCGTTGTAACGAGGATCGAATTGCAAATAAACTATATATCTCGTATTAGAGATATGCTACCTCAAAGGGAGCGTTTCTATATTTCAATACGTATACGAGTAGGTACGTGTACGTGCGGCGAAATTTGCATCACGAAAAAGAAAGTGTAATTGGTAAACTGGATTCTCCTCCAATTGTGAGGAATAAAACTGTCGAGGGCCTTCTGCATCTAGATTTCTTATTCACACAATCCGGCATTAAGAAATGATGTGACTGTTCTTTAATTAGTGGGTAATCATTGACGATAGTATATTAATATTAGTAGAGAACGTGCGAAAGAGCGAATTAAGGTTCTATTCAAAACGTGGCTTGAACACGTGAAAGCATGTTGCCTGGAAAACGCGCATGATATATTTTTCACAGATTTCCAGGAGAATTATCAGGCCAATATCTCGCTCTTTCGCCATAAAAAAATTAATTTTGCAAATACGTAAAATTTTAATATATTAAGAGAATAATTCTTCTCCCTTTGACATTCTTTTTAATCTTTTGCTAATCAAGCAATTTTACTCGTTCTTATAAAAACGAATTATTGAATTAAAGATTCGATTGTTATATGTTACGTAAAGAGGATGCGAATTTCAGTCGCGTGTTGAACATGAGCGATCAACAAGTCTTCGAAAGTAAGGATTGTAGCATATATGTATTATATATATGTACACTTGAATAATTGTGATACTTAGAAATAAGTAGGTACGTTTTTGCTGAACTCTGCATTCGGTATTTCTTTATCTCCATTATTGCAAAGATAAATCCTTTCATCTAGTCGCATTCAAAGAGAAAAAAACTGACTACAACTAGAAAATAATTTATTGAGCACTCTGTATAAATATGCGTATACATTCATTCAGTGCCTTTATTAGTGTCAGTTTTTTTTAATGAAAATTATACAGTTAATTTTCAACGCCGAAACAAGTTTATGCGTTCCTCTCTTGTTCCATTAATAAACTTGGAGAATTTGTTGCAAGGTAAGTGAAAGCTTTAATATTGGGGGGGGGGGGGGAATAAATAAGAATAATAATAATAGTGCACGAGATACATTGTAGATGATTACTTGTATTTGTACACAATACTATATAACAACAAGGAAAATACTGAATGAGAAACAGATGCCTTATTTGGTGTATCACACGGGCACAAGCCAAAAAAACCATGTCGCAATAGAGCATCTCTCTCTCTCTTTGTTGACTATATAATTTAATACTCGTTACCAGTAAGGAGAAAAAAAACTCTACACAGACTACATTAATGAAACGTATATGTCCTCAGTTTTTTCCCCCTCGGTCTACTCGAAACTGCTCTCGCATATCATTTAAACATATACAATTACGAGTTACACAAATAAGTGGAATATTACAGACTATTTTTACTTTATACAATACTTGAATTTTACTTGTAATGAGCACATCATACTCTGCGCGTATCAGACACTTGTATAAATAAAGAGTAATAACTCGTGGAAGGAGTCGCGCGAGTTTGCGGTTAATTAAGTAGTAGTACTGGCTCTTCGTCTTGTGCGAATTTCATGCGATTTTTCAATTCTTCTTTTGCAATATATAGGTCATAGAAAAATATATGGATTATATATACCGCGAAAGTTTTCTCCCAATAATACCCGCCTGGTGCAGTAAAGGCAATCGTTTAAATTTTTACTTTCGTAGTAATCACTTACGCATTATCGCGTTCGTATCTTTCGACTAAGCAACATTCTCTCTCTTTTTCTTCTCACCGCTCTTTTTAAATTTTCTTCAAAAAGTTTCTTACTCACAATCAGTTATAATTTTAGAACGTACATATCAAAATAATCGAAATATTCCTAAGTCAAAACTCACAAGTATACTACGAGAAAGCTATTAATATTAACTGTACCAATTTTATCTTATAACGACGCATCAATTAATTCAAATATACTTTAAACTGACAAAATTAAATAAAATGAGACATTGCAATAAAAACATCGATACAAAATAACGTTTGTACATTGTCGTGAAATAAAGACTTGTTTAATTTATACGTGTCTCGTAATCAGACTTCAGTATGCAAATATAGAAATCACGATGGATAACAGAAATAAATTTTTACATCTTCCGTAATATATTGAAGAACCTCGAGAACCCCACGCTACTCAAATCCTAAAAACAACGTAAACTACGTAATAGTATGTGGAAGATTATCCGTAAAGTCTCTCATGTCGTATGCGTTTCAACTTAGTTGATATTAATACTAACGAAAATGCCTACGAAAGCTAAAGATCCTACATATCTGGAACACAATGTATCTATTAGTAGTGAGCAACATTTTGATCAAGTAAACGAATTAAATTAATTCAGAATATTTAGCGATTCGGCGTCGCGTGCGACTGCGAAGTAAGGGGGTAAACAAGTACCTAAAATCGACGCTTTGGTGCATAAATATACATCCATCCGTTCGCTATTGCGTTTTTCCAGAATAAAATGACATATTTCCGTTCTGACATTTTCTTCTCTCTGCATGAATCCATAAATAGCCGCCTACGCAATAACTCTAGAATAAATATCTATCACAAAGGCTGGTCTAATATATGTGGCTTTTAGATTTTATAGCAATATCCTCGCGCGCGTCGCAATGGCTACGTTCGGAGAAACGCTTGTACGATGATCGAGTAAATGTTTATCGAATACATGCTATGCGGACAGTGAATGGGTGCTCCATCATGTTTGGCGACGTAATTGGTGTAAGCGGTTTTCTGACACACTTTGCTGGTACTATACATTGCGAACTTGTAATCAAATATGAATATACCGATTATCAGTTAGAGCTAGTTCTTCGTAGCCTAATAATAATTTTGTGTAAATTTTATATACGTTTTGCTCACTTCAGAACATATTATTCATATATTGTTCAGAATTTTATGATTCAAACATTTACATATATTATGTTATAACTCTAAGATTTATAATTCAGAATTGACTAAACCCTAACAGTATCGAGAATACTGCTGAAAAATAAAACAAGAATAAAAGAAAATAGGAAACGGGTATATAACAGAAAAGTTGGTAGATTTTCCTGCTTGCCTGGATACTGCGTGTGTCCGAAAATCGTCCGGAAGATAGAAAGGTACAAGCATTTCCCAGAGATGCCGAATGAGCGATATACGCGCTGGTAATAATACTAGCTTTATAATATAATCTTAATCTAATTATTTACACTTCACACCGTCCGATGTTTCCTATGTCGACTTAACGAGAGTCGCGTCAATAATAAATACGATGACGATGAGACGTATAAGTGTTTCGCTATCGTTCCTTATGTTGTACTTATGCCGTGACTCGCCGATCCATTCTTACGCAGTAGTAACGAATACTCGGTTTTGCATGTTGGACTGTCGCGCGGATCAACGTCCACTATATAGGTCACTTTTTTGACAGTGAGACTGGCAGGTTCTCGCTCCTCATAATACTGCGGCTCGTTAATGTACACGACTTGCAGAATATTTATATCCTGATTTATAAAGAAAAGCCGCGATCACACGAATACTCACGCTGCGGTAACGCGACGCGTTAACTCCGCTTACTCACGCGTCGGCCCGCGTTTCCCTTTCAGACCGCGCTATCGGCATTTTCACTCGCATGTCGCTCGTGATTCGTGTAATGCAAGAGAGGATCGTTGACGTTTAGAGTTCCCGTTTCTTCCTCGTTATTGGTACAGCTCGTCACGACCTCCTCTGATAAACGTAAAGATATAATGTTATTCGTGATAACAAAACACGTGGAGACAAATTGCGGTTTTAAGAGCGAAGACGCTACACTTTTACAAACTTTTACGGATGTAAATTTTATTTACCGGGCAAGCACAGTTGTAGCTGATCGTTACTGGGATTAGTGCTGTCTCCGGTCCCACTGTCTTTGCTGTGCTGCGAACTCGTGTCTAGGTACAGCTGCGTTTGTACCTCCGGTACGGTAAGTATAACGGTTGTCATTGGTTGCGCGGCGGTGTCTTGCGTGGGATTCAATTGGCGTCTGGTTTTATAAATTACGAGCACCCAAACCACGGAAGTGATGACGGCGCAACATACGACGGTTATTATTATCAAGCCCAGTATCTCGGATTCGTTCAGTGTGGAAACCGGCGCTGGAAATGTGAAATAAAAAAAATACAACGTATGACTAGGAGTTAGACTAGGAGAAACCTTTCGTTAAAATCTTTCAATCGTATTATTGTCAATTAGAATTACCCGGCTTGACCGTGAGATGCGACGTGCCGACGATACTGCCTAGCGAATTACTCATCTCGCACTCGTAACTGCCCTCGTCACTCGTGATTGTGTTGACGATGATCAAGAGCTGATCCCCCGCGGTGAAGAAATGACGTTCCGTTGCTTGCAGCGGGCTAGCGTTCTTTCGCCATGACAATTTCGGACGCGGCGAGCCGCTGGCCATGCATTCGAGCACAATCGAGCCGCCCACCGTGATTTCTTTGTCCTCCATCGGCTTTACGAAGGACGGTGTTTCTAAAAAAAGAAAAAATACGCGTTACGAGTACGTATGAGAATAATCTTTGTAATTTCAACTTTCGATAATTGTGGAAGGAACTTATTATTACCTAGTATGGTAAGGGTAGCGTTTGCAACGATAACACCAGCCAGATTTTGCGCGGTGCACGAGTAAATTCCGCTATCGGCCATTTTCACGTTTATTATAAACAACACGTCGTCCGTCGGCATCATGTGCATTCGTCTTTCCCTCGCAGCTGGGAAATCGTTTCCACCATCCTTCTGCCAGGCTATCTGCGGGGACGGTTGCCCCTGGGCGGAGCACTCCAAACGGGCAGTGCTTCCAGCATTCACTCGTATGTCGTGCGGAATTTTGGAAAACGATGGATAAACTACACAGAAGAACGTGCGCGAAAATTGTTACTCGATCCATTGAAATGCATATAAAACGTTGATTCTATAAATCACGCGATTGTTATGTTTTAAAAGAGATCGACGCTATATTTTCATAAAGTTTAAAGGATTCATTAATTTAATTAAAAATTTTCTCTCAAAGATAAATAATTAATTATTAATTGTTAACGAAATCTATACACTTGGGCACTATAATTAAGATCGATGTATATGCATACATAATTTACCTAATACGCTTAGTTTGGCTTTGGCAGAGTATGTGGTTCCATAAGTGTTCGTCACCATGCACTGATATCTTCCTGCGTTAGCATGGGTAATATTAATAAGATACAAAATGGATGTTGCCTCGGTTACTCCGCTCTCGGAGGAACTGAGATTGGTCAGCAGATTCGCGTCGTCCAACTCTACGTTGTCGTGCTTCCAGGTAAAATGGAGCGGAGTGTCAGCGGTGCTGGTTGCGCGACAAACCAGTTTCACGTTGTCACCTTTGATGCCCATTTTGCTCACGGGTTCTTGAACGATCCGTGGTTTCGGATACTCATCTGCGATTGAATATTGTAGAGAAAAGATTTTATTAAGGGCGCAAAATTAGAGAAAACAATAGCAAGGGGTAGTTCTATTGATCATTATTTAAATATATAAAATCTTTGGTTCGCAATAATACTAACCGCAAGTAAAGTTCGCATGATGTAATTGAGTTAACGACATGCCCTGCAACCAATGTGGATAACCGCAGTGTAGTTCAGCCTCTTTGTAAGGATGTTCTCGCAACCACATGCTTAGCCATTGAAGTCCACAGTCGCAAACCAAAGCTCCTGTGTGTAAATGAGCAAGATAATTAATAATAACGGAAGATAGCAAAAGTAAAATTTCATGTATAATGTAAAACTTTGAACCTACCGGTGTTCATCTTAAGTTTGCTCAGATTAGACATTGAAAGGAACGCATTTTCTTGAATAGACGTAATGTTGTTTCCGATTAAGTCGAGTTCGACAAGATGACTCAGACCGGTAAAAGCGTTTTGATTTATGGATTTTATTCTGTTGTGCGCTAAGCCCAATTTCCACAACTGACTGAGCGGAGAGAACGCGCCGTTGATATCCTCTACCATATAGGATATCTTGTTCGAATTAAGTTCCCTTAAAAGCAAGACACCATTTGTAACACAGTAATACGAGAGCAAACATTAAAATAATAATTATATTACACATACAGGATACGAAGGTTTGTCGTAAAATTAAACGCTCCATCCGAGACGTATGCAATTTGATTGTGATCTAACTTAAGCTTCTCGAGCTTCGTGAGATATTCGAACGAGCCCCGATCTATAGAGGTCAATTCATTGTGTGACAAGTCTCTGAAATAAAGATAAAAATTTACAATCATACGAACCATTTAATAGTAATATTTGCAACACAGAGGTGATAAATTATCTCGTGCAACTATGAAAACAATACTAACAGCTCTACTATCTCTCTGCACACATCCCATGCTTGAGGCTCGATCGTCGAAATCCGATTGTGTGACAGAGTCAGCTTTTGCAAATGTTCTAAACCGAACAAACCTCCCTTCTTTATAATGGTCAACATATTAAAATCGAGCTGTAGTAGTTTTAAAGTTTTAAGCGGCCAGAAAGCTCCATCGTCCAATTTGTCAATTCTGTTTCTTTTTAGATATAATTCCTTCAGGCTCTTCAAATTCTTCAGGCTTAAACCGTGTATTTGTTGTAGATTATTTCTATTCACCTCCCTGTAATGTTATCAGGTGAGTTTTGGATAATACGTTGAAGAGATTGCTTTCTAAATGTAATATTTCATATGTACAGATATTATGAATGTGTTAAAGATACATATAAATGCTTACAATATTCGCAATTTTCCCAAATTCATGAAAAGATCTTTCAGCTGTGTCAAATTGTTCTTGTTTAAACGGAGTTCCTCTAATAAAGTTAGATTATCCAAACTTCCATTTTCGATGATTCTCATGTGATTTCCATTTAGGTTCCTTAAAAGTTACGAATATTAGACAACAAAATTAATATGCGATGTAAATAAATTTGTAAACTACAGCGTAAAATACATACAAATGTATAAGTTGATTAGGAGCGAGGAAGGAACCCCTGTGAAGGACACTTATTTTATTCCCACTGAGATCCAGGTATTGAAGCTGATGTAAGCTATACAATGCAGTCCCATTTATACTAGTAATTAAGTTGTGGGATCTATAAAAAATTACGATGTTAATTGTTGCTCCACCGCATAAATATTTTATTAGCAATGTGATAATTGCTTCGTATTGAATTTATTGAAAAAATTTTTCTAATTTATGCATATATGTACTTACAGTGAAAGCTGATTAATATTCTTAACAAATACAAGTTCTGGCACTTGCGTCAAGTGATTTTTGTTCACTTTAAGTTCGCGTAGTTGCGCAACGTCTGACAAGGCAATAGTAAAATTATCTCCGAGTTTATTAGCACTTACATCTCTGAAATTATAGACAAATATGCGCATAAGTCTTGTCTTTACATGTCAAGTGTTAAGAACCGGATGTCACAATTCTTACAATTTTTTTAGTCTTGTTAAATGAAGCAATGAATCGAATTCCAAGTTAGCAATATTGTTGTCCTTTAACTCTCTGAAAAAGACAAAATATAATTAATAAATATATTAATAAATAAATAGAGAGAGTGAGAGAGAGAGAAAAGTTATGCGATATGCTCCTAATATAAGCAGAGTTTCTACTAAATTAATAGGCATAATCTGTGATTCCACCATGAATTTATTGTCCTTGAAGTGAAATCCATTTAGTGGAAAATTGATTATTAGATCGTGTAATCGTTGCGAAGTAAGATTTGCGATTGACTTTGGACGTTAAAAACCTATCTCATATTACAATCCTTTCTCACAATAGAGGACTTTCCTCTGTATATACATATATATTTTTTTAAATATAATACGAAAAAATATTTAAACAAAAATACATCTAGTTTGAGATTTCATACAAAATTTATATAAAATATTATATTATGTGTGTGTTAATTTGTTAATTCACACAACTCGTGTGCAGTTTGGTGAACACTAGAATCACTTCAAGTTGAACATTTCTGCAGTTGTACTTATAAATAGTACAAAATATAAATACGGAGTTGTAAGAGTTATTTTACAAGTTTACAATAAGTCTGCTCGAAGCTGCTTCACATTTAGATGCACGTTGCAGAAAGTAGGAATGTTGCAGTTGACTATACATCTTAATACCTTAAATAGCATAGACATGAATCTTCCCTACTTAGATCTTGCTATCCTTGACTCTGAGCACTGGGGGGACTTAACAATCAGTCATCATCACACATAGCACCCTATATGGCTACAGGAACCTGGCCGTGTATCTGTAGAGCCAGTTTCATCAATCTGACCATTTAGTGGAGTGAAGGGACAAGCGACCCACATGCGGCCATAACAAGCAATATCACTCCCCCCCCCCTCCTCAATTTGACTCCCAAACAATACAGTATAATAACAGTTATCATCCAATAAATAATAAATTGCTGCATAATGGCAGCAGCTTGTGAACTTTTAGTTGAGACACAAACAAGAGAATTGTTAATTGGCGTCTTAACACAACCCGCCGCTGTTGTTTGCCATTGAGTCACAACTTTGTTAGAGATTGTTGCAAACTGCTATAAGAGAAAAATTATATTTAAAGGTAAATCTTGCCTCTTTCAATATTATTTCAGTAGATGACTATTTCGTTAAATATCGTTAGCTAAGCACAAAAGTAAATTGTAAAAATCTCCGACAGCCGATCGTAAAGTATCAGTGATTATTCTATTTTTGTTATAAATTCCTCTTCTATCTTATCAGCGTCAACTCATATTACACAGGCCAGGTCCTATAATCCTCCATGATCCGCTAGATTGTTTCTTAGCTCTCTCGAGGCGTACGACAAATGCTCCGTTACACCTTCGTCCCACGAGCGACAAATGCGGGGCACTTGGTGCGCAACTCCAAGTGGAATCGTATCTCCCCGTAGGAGTCTAACCGACCTCGCGGGGGAAAGCTCGACGCCGCTTGCCAAACACAAAGGCGACATCCTGACAAGCCCATCCTGCCGCCGGCAACGGCGCTTTACTCACAAATTCTCTGTCCACGGTGGCAGTCCGCTAGGTGCCTCGATCAGCTGCAGCTCGCTGCAGGCGACCAGGTTGCCCAGACAGGAGCACTCGACCGGGCAGGGGTACGTGTTGTCGCTCGACTCGGCGTAGGTCGACGGCACGCTCAGTGCGGCGACCAGCAGCAGAAACGCGGCGCTCCATCTCCGCCCGAGCCGACGCGCGAGGCGACGATGCTTCGCCGAGCACCTCGACATCGCGCACAATACGCACGCACGCAACGCGTACGCGCGCGCACGCACCCGCACGCACGCACACACCACACACACACACCACCGCGTACCAGAGTCCGCCGCTCGGCTTACACGGTTGCGCGACAACGCTCACCGCTGCCGCGCCGCATCATCGCCGTGGGGTCGTAGGGATGAAATCGGCGTGCCCGGCGGCTGGGCGAGTTACCATAATACCAGGGAAGATGCGATGTTACCCGCGTCGTTATCGATTCAAAACAAACTCCTCTCGGATTCACCCTCGAGAACGCTGCGACCCAAGCACCATGATGACGCCTACGGGACGACTGTAACTGCATGCGCTAACGGGACGCCACCTGGCGACTCGCACGAAATGGTGGCCGCGCACGACACGACCATAATGGCGCGTACGCACGCTGGAACGCTTGTTGCGCGATATAAAAAAGAAAATGTCGCGGTGGTAGCCGGAGTTCTATTCAGGACTTCACGCCCATCTACGTTTCACTCTACGATCGAAGCTTAAAGCCTTGTGTCCACGATCCAAGAACTGTGTCCAAGTTCAGGTTCCAAGAAATGTAATATAGCCATTCAACTTGCAGCTTTTCTGCATCCCCAAGTTTCAAATTTCATTCATCAATTTCTTATTCTTCAACACCAATTTCTTGCTCTTCAACAACAATTTCTTGCTCATCAACACCAATCTCTTGTTCTTCAACACCAATTTCTTGCGCTTCAACATCAACCTATTGCTCTTCAACGTCATTTTAAATCAACATCATCTTAACTTCTAAATTCTACATTATTCAACATCAAATTTTGATTCTTCAACATCAATTTCTTGCTCTTCAACACCAATTTCTTGCTCTTCAACATCACTCCAAATCAACACCATCTCAAATTCCACATTGTACATTATTCAACATTTTTATTCTTCAACATCAGATTTTGATTCTTCAACATCAAATTTTGATTCTTCATCATCAAATTTTGGTTCTTCAACATCAAATTTTGATTCTTCAACATCAAATTTGATTCTTCAACATCAAATTTTGATTGTCTTAATTGTCTTGTGTCTTGTCTTGTCTTGAAAACGGTATCAAGTAAAACGCCGGCGTGGCCGCTCTCAGGTTTCTCTCTGGTATTACCAACACGTCGCTGGTTACTGTCGCGCATGCGCGAAAAACGCGACCATTCTGGCATCACTGATTATTGGAAACGAGCTTTGGTGCCTTTGGTTAAGCTTATCACACAATGTCAGGCAACAGGCAACAGGAACAGGGAATAGAATTTCTGACGCGTTGGATTGGTTGGAAGAAAATTTTCAACGAATCCAACGCGTCAAAAATTCTATTCCCTGTTCCTATTGCCTGTTGCCTGGCATTGTGTGATAGGCTTTAGTCTCGAGCTGTGTCCTCTTATTGTGCAATTTGATCTCACCTCATGTCGGAGTGCGAAGTGGCCGGCACCGGTTCCACGCGTTGAATATATCGGCGTCGCGGAACTAAGGGAAGGCGGTGGAGAGAGTTTCGGGCGCATCTTGCCATTGCCATTTCTAAGTAAACACGCGCGCGCTGCACGCTTACGTGCATATCGTGTCCGATCGTTCTTCTCGGGAGTTGCACGATCGACATGGAGGACAAGCTGCTGCAGTTGCTCCAAGACGTTGGGTGAGTAATTGGGGATCGTGAAGGATTTAAAGGGGTGAGGGATTTAAGGGCTTGGCTTTGGAGTACAGCGCATTGTTTGTTGCAACGTTGGTACAATTTCTCTTGCGACAAACTTTATTAGAACTTATTGAAACTCGCGTTCCTTACGTCGGCATTTCTCACTGAAAGAGCGCTCTTGTCATGATTTTACAGGTACACGGGGCCGATGCTGGACGCCAACAAGCTGTCGGACGCCTTGAAATGCGGCGCAAAATCGCCGGACTTTACTTGCCTTGTCAACTGGCTCGCCGAGCAACTGGCGACATTCATAGACACGGACGAGACTGTTCACGCCACAATAAGCGCGAACGATGCTAGTTCCTTTCTCTTAGAGTTAAGCTTCTTCCTTAAGGAAATAGGATGCGTGAATGAGAAACTGATGACTGGGCACATGAATCAAAGACTGGCTAATGAATCTGAAAGAGCTATCCTAATAGAATTTTTAGTCACCGAGCTTATGGCTTGCAAATTGCTGGAGGCGAAGTGTCCTAAGGAGGAGAAGCAAATAGAAGTGACCATTGTGAGTACTTTTCTATTGAAACGTTTTAATCGTGGCCGATCTTATCGAGAGAAATTCTGTCAAACGTATCGCTGTTTCGTGTTCACGCAGGATGAAAGTGAGACTGCGAGAAGCTTGAAGGAGATGCTGGTCACGCTGCAGTTTCAAAAGCCACCGGACAATATTCCGCCCGAATTATTGTTTTCAAGACTGGAAACCAAGTTGTCAGAAGTTCTAAAGACTGTACCGCCTCATCATCTAAATAAGCCGCTTATAGACGTCGAGCTCTCTGCTAAGCAGTGGGAGCAGCTAGGTAAACTGCAGGAAGAGATGCACAAGGAATACGCGTGTCGCCGTGACATGTTGCTCAAACGCCTCGACGTTACAGTTCAATCGTTTTTGGTGAGAACCAACCACCTTGATACCACTTTGTGCATAGACTGGTATATTTGACGATCGCGTCGTTAATCATGCGACTTTACTTCCAGTGGTCGGACAAGGCGAAGTCGCAGGAGACTGAAGTAAATTCTACATACGAGGAGAGAAGAAAGACTCTGATAAACGAGCCGAAAGTGACACTGGCAGATTTATTGGCCGCTAGGGACGATCTGGCGGTGATCGAGAAAATGAGTAACGCGAGCGTTCGCAAGAATACGCGAAGCAAAATTAACAGTGTCATCATCGGTGCGGTGCCGGACAGAGGTGGTAGACCGTACGAGCAGGAGCCACCTCCGCCAGAGATGCCGTCGTGGCAGAAGGATAGAGTCCAAGGACCGTCGTCGTTCCAGTAAGTTAAGAAAACGCAGTGAGGTGCAGAGGATTCGAACGCGATGGCATCGTCAACAATTTAATTCTCTCTTTGTGACTTGCATTGTTCCCGTGCTGTCTTTTTGCTTCTACAATTGCCTTTCGTTAGACTCCGTTAGACTGTTGTTCGTTGCGTGCGTCGAACTATGGTGTTTCTCCTGAATTTCACGTAGTTTACAGATTTTAAGTAGTACAAAGCCTGTTGTGTGATATTACTTGAAAAAGGATTACAATCTGAATGGTCGAATCGTAGAATGGATTAATTTTAGATAAACCACCTGCCAATTGGGTCGTCCAACAATTTCTTCAGTTTGTTAACAAAATAGTATGTTAAAATATAAAATGTAAATTGGCCGGATCACAATCACGAGATAAAACAACGATAAATTGTTTGTGCACGCGTAGATACAATTTAGTACTCTCTACATATCTTTTCTTTCTCAGGGGCGGAAGAGGAGGACGCGGTGGCGGTGGCGGTGGAGGAGGAGGCGATAGAGGACGCGGGGGCGGCAGAGGCGGCAGAGGTGGAGGCGGTAGAGGCGGTGGTGGAGGTGGTGGCAGCGGTTATCGAGATCATAAAGACGCCAGCAGCAATTTTGGCCAGAACTTGGATTATCAGCAATCTCAATACTCTGGACATGGACACAGAGAATGTTATCCGGATCACAGAGACGCGGGAGGGTATCAGAGAGGTGGCGGCGGCGGTGGTGGAGGTGGAGGTGGAGGTTACCGAGGAGATTCCGGCGCGAACTACAGTCAGAACTACAATCAGAATTACACTCAGAGTTATAGTCAAAATTACAATGAAGGTTACGGCCAGAATTATCAGCAGCCGCAATATTCCGGCCAGAGAGATTCGTACGGGGACAATCGTGGCGGCAACTACCACCAGGACAGGAGGGAAGGGGGTGGAAGGGGAGGCAGAGTTCAGGGCGGATGGAATAACTATCAACGTGGCGGCAACAGAGGCAGAGGACAATACTGAGGATGCCGCTTTGCGTGCGTTCTTTAGTGACAGTATAAAACTCTCACAAAGAGAGACCGGGGAAACGTTATGATATTCAAATAATTTCAGCGACTATATTCGCTATCACTTACGCTTAAACTGTACTCACACGTGACTTTGGTCTCAAAATATCTGAGCGCGGAATATTTATAATAATTGTATTGAATTGTGACGTCTTTAGATCACAGGCTAGCTAACAATTCGAAATTGTAGCGTTGCGTTAAGATAGAATTTACTATTTAGCTCTTTCGTAATGGTAGCCTTTCACCTTCTCGTCTATGCGATTTGAATGTATGTATATAATTGTTTTCTATACAAATCGAAAGTAGTGAAGATAATTGTGTAAATAAACGTTTGCCTCTCGAGGGTAATAGATCGAAATTTAATTTATAACGCGAGATGTTATCAAGACTGTAAATCAAGCCACTTAAATTTTGTATTAAATCGCGCATATGTATTAGATATTAAATGAGCATGAGAAACCGAGTGATTTTAGTATCCCTGTTTAAATATTGAGTCATCCAAGTGGTGCAATTTCTTCGAGATACTTTTGAAACTAAACAAAACGCATTTGACATTTTTATTTAAAATATATCTTCCATTATATTGTGTAAAACTTTCCCTCTTAATCTGAAACTTTCAATTCTCGGCGATACAAATCTTTCGGCTTTTAAGGTGAAGACCAAAAACCAAGCTTCCTTTTATATCGCCATTACTTACGGAATGACCCAGTATCTTTTTGTTGTCGAGAGAATCTACAGGCGATTTTTGGCGACTGTTTTGGTACATGCGTACCAAAATGCACCCTCGGCGTCACGCGAATGCCTTTACGCCTGAAGAAAGACGTTGAGAGAATATTCCATGGGAAAATTTATTTTGATAAAATGAATTTAACGGCTATTTTCAGGTGTAAAAGCATTCGTGACCGCCGAGTGTATGGTACACTTTGGTGTGTGTAGCAAACAATCGCTAAAACTCGTCTTATAAGTTCGGTGAAGAGTGTATCTTCATATTTGAAAATTAACGCATCTGAGGCCTGGTAATTCTTAAGGTCCTACCCGCGAAATCTGGTGACTTTCAAAAATACAAAGAAGACGATTCTTTACCATGGCGCCAAGTCACAACAATGCGGCGTGCCATTATTGGTTAGCCTGGACGCACAAACGGGCGGTGTTCGTCAAGACTTCCCGCACAAATTGTCAACACCTTGCGACGCGTTAAAAGTCAACATGGTCACGCGATTGCACGTTAACGATAAAGATCGAGCTGACCGAGACGAGTCCGTGTTACACTTCATGCCATGTAAAATTCACGGGGACGAAGCTGCCAATGTTTCCTCTTATTTCAAGCCTTACATCAGTAAGGTGGACGAAGGATGTGAGTGAAATGTTATCTCTTCGCGTATCTCGCGCGGACGACGTTGAGAGCGCAGAAACCTTGTAAAACTCATAGTCCTATGCGAAGCCAATTTTACACTTCTTATTCCAAGTTTCACGCCTCTCATTCAACTTGCGACTCGTCCGACTCGTTAAGTAAATGTAACAATCCAAGTGATAAGCGAGTCAAGAGGCCAGATGGAATCAACGTATTTGCAACATACATTAATTTGCCATTTGATTGTTCGAAGACTACGATTGTTCCTTCCGTGGCTACCCGCTTCAAGGGAGGAAGGTAACTGTACCTGCTGGCTACAGAGGCATGATGTTTATGGAGAACAAAAAGGCGGATACCGAGGGCAAGGAGAGGAATTTGTACTGCACGGGAACCTTCTCCCAGTTTACATATTGGAATTATGATAGAATACCGTCTAAGAATGATGCTCTTGTCGCAGCATTGGATTGGATTGATGTAGCTAAAGCGGTAAGCTTTTCGCACACGCATAAGCCGTAACTCGTTGGTCGCCGTATCGTTCTAATACATTTCTTTAATAATTTTCAGTTACACTCGTCAGACGCATAAGCGGCGTTAAGAGAAGATTATTTTAACATAACTTATAAAACAAGAGTATGTTCCCGTTGGACGTGACATTTTTATACCTGGAAAAGAGAAATATAATAAAGGCGTTTTGTATAACAGATTTATTTTTACGTCATTACGCGGTTACGCCACAGATAATGACCGTATGAACTATGATAGTGGGCATAAGAATCTACGACTAAGATGCGTAAAGAGAAGATAGCGGTGGCATTTATCGTAATCTAATTAGCGGCGACATTCAAAGGAAACGGAGCTGCCTACTCAAGATACCTCTGTGGACTTGATTGCTTCTCGTTTAATTGTAAATGCGTGCTCAGCGAATTCCTCCCGGGGACATAAATCTGTTTTACATAAGATTATATGTTTTACACAACTTTATATTCGATTTTATATTAAATGCATTTATATAGTGCCGTCGATAGGGCTTGTGACGTCTATGATAAATTAAGGACCCATACAGCACAAATTGTTGCAGAAAGATTTCAAAATTATTTCGATATTTCACATTTCATGCTCAACATTTCTGACAGAATTCTGCAATATGTCATATAAAATAATGCAACAGAAATGTTTCAGAAATCTATCATATGCAATAAATTTGAAAAAATAATGCGAATATTACAAAAAGATTTTTCTCGTCTTTTGAGTCACATATATGGAACGTTGAAATGCTTGCCGCGCTGCAAAAGACGACACGGTAGCCCATCAACTTACAACTTTTGTAAAAGTATAATAAAGCAATGATTGACTACTGAGTCATCTTTTAAAATTTCAAAATATTGAAATAATTTTGAAATCTTTCTGAAACCTTTCTGTAACAATTTGTGCTGTATGGGGAAGGATGTCTGAGCATCCGTACGTGCTGTCTTAATTATACAAATGTGAGATTTACAAAATACATTTCCCGGCACGCGGCGTGTATGTGCATTGAATTATTTTAGGCCAAAGGGTCCGATCTGCGACAGCGTGTATTCCGTGCACGAGGCTTACAAAATTGACTTCTAAACGTACGCTAAAATGAAAGACGTTCCTCTGCGTTACGTGAAGAGTCGCGCGGCAACGATAAGGTTGTGCGTAACGAAGTACATTTACAATATTTCTCGCGTTAATACCTGAAATAAGTAAATTATTACAGTCTCAATCTGAATTATCTTTGGCGTCAGATAACAATACTGAGGTATACGAGATTTATACAATTAAAAAATCCCGAATGTGTATGTATACATGGAATTCTCACGCGCGTTCGTTCGTTTCCTACACACTAAATTATTAAAGCCTCGATAACGAAACGATAACTATAATAAAATACCTCTCATTTTCCCCGACGCTTACTATAGATATCGCTAGTAAAATAAATTCTCATAGGCTCTAGAGGACCTATTTACAGTAAGACCTATTACATTACAAACGTCTAAGGGACTACGCTAGAAAATAGGTCCGCTGCATGTGTCACTTGGTTTCGCTTATGCAAAAGCTCTCTAACGTTTACTCGTAAAGTTGGGGGAAGTATACGCACGTCCTATAGAGAGGACGTAAGTCTTGCTGCCGTTTTTCGTGTATTTAGCTAAACATATTTTAATCACTTCTTGCGTATAAATCGGGCGGGCACCCACCCGTTCGAATTGGGGCCAGCGAGACGAAGCCTCGGGCGAACTAGGAAGGTTCCCACCCGAGTGGCGGACACAGGCAGACCGATCGCTCTGCCCGTTTTCTCCCAGTGAGAAGTGATTCGTTGAAACGATTCGACATCGACCGACGAATCATTTCTCGCTGGGCTCTCTTAACGATTTAATCTGTTTAAGCTAGACATACATAGGATCACATTATCTTATAATATGTTATTCCCGACGAGGATTACGTTCTAAAGTAGATCTTCAATTACGCGTGTGGTCATACAATTTGTAGATATTCATCAAATTATACGGAATCAATGAATACTTAAATAATTCACGATTTCTTTCGCTATTGCATAACGCTCCCACACAACACCGTATCTCTTCGTTTTTTTTTTATTCTTTCCTTTGTACCCTGATCTCAGATGTGCATTTTCATATACATGAGACGATTGAGTTTCCTAGAATGTGAGATATGTCCCGTTTGAAGTTCCTCAAAACTAATCTAAAAATACGCGAAAACTAATTCGTTTGTGGCAGTGATCGTAACTGTAAAGCCCGTATCAGACTACGAGTTGAGATTGATTAGACTGAAATTTGACTAGTCAGAGTAAATAAAATTTCAAATTCCAATCGACCTCAGCTGTCCACATCTATTGAATACGCCTTCACAACGTTTCGACCTTTGGTTTAGGTCCTTTTCAAGTGAGATCTAGGAGTAAATGTCTTACATACAAGAGGTCGATTGAAATTTGAAATTTTATTTATATCAATACTGGCAATCTGATGAAGTATACCAATCAGAGTAAAATTCGTTAAATTTGAGATTAGTAAACTGTACTCTGGTGAAATTTCCATCTAATCTTAATCTCAATCCGTAGTCTGATACGGGCTTGATACATTCAATTCTCAAAAAGTATTGTACAAAGACGCAAAACACCGCAACAGGCAGTATGTGAGATACGTATTAATTTGCTCGTATATTGTCCGGCGCTCCTTGTCGTAGCTTTTATCCAATTCGGTAGAATATCAAAAAACTATTATATAAGTGCCACTCGTGTGTAATACGATAATAAAAAAGACAAAGTCGACAGTCTTACGTTTCGGTAAGCAAAACCTATAAAAATCGTAAGCAAAATGACTCGCGTTCGAACCGACGCGACGGTTTCATCGGTTGCGCGCGATTTAAAAACGGCTTCCACTAAATTTGTACATCCATAAGAATATCAAATCAAGTTTTATATCATTTATACATGCTGAAATGTGCCTAACTCGTTGGCCTGCTCCTGCTGAAACTTGTTCTGATCCTGTTGCTGCTTGATGAAGGCGCTGAGCCTGTTGAGTAAGAATTGCTTGTCGTGGCCCTCTAATACCAGTTGATTTTTCAATACTGTCACCATGTGCTTGTTCGCCAGCCACATGACGTAATAGTAGTAGAGAAGCAGAGAGAGGACGACGAATGCCGGTATACCAAAGGCGGCCGTGCCCAGGAAGGATAGAATCGACTGCAGCCAATTGGGAAACTGCGCGAACGTCATGATCAGTAACATCCACACGGACTCCAATCCCCGGAACGGCCCGCACGATTTCGACGGCATGATCTCCGCGATGGAGTAGCCGACCGGTATCACCGCCAGGATGAAGGAGATGAGCAGATTGAACATGAACAGGCAGTTCGACCTGCTGGCGCGGTAAATCTTGTTCGACGGTGTGCTATTCACCAGGCAAGTGAATTTCTTTATGTAGAACAGCAAGAACGTCCCGACGACGGCGACCATGGGTAACAGCGGGGCGTAGAAGCAGCCGAGCCAGCAGACCGTCTGCGAGTAGAAGATGTCCAGCACGTGCTTGGGCAAGTCGAACTCCTGCTCGCCGACGAAGCGCAACACCTTGTTCTCGGTGTGGCGCGCGATCAACGAGCGTGGAAAGTTGATGAAGAACGTCATGAAAAATTGGATGAAAATGTCGGTGGTGTAGAGCTTGAAGAACTGCTGTCCCACGAACGTTTCCCAACACAGCGGCTGCTCGTTCTTTCTGCTGGCGCATTCGTTGTCCGGGATTCTGCCCGCGACGAGCTTGTACAGAGACGTTAATAGAACGGCGAGGGAGGCGAATCTGAAGAACATGGTTCTGTATAGCGTCACTTTAACGACGTAAGACGGACTGTAACGTTCCAGGGCGACCAGGTAGCGAAAGAGGAACGGCACCGCCACGTTAAGCCCGACGATACATATGTACGGAAGGAATTCGAAGAACAGATTTAATATCTCGTAGTCTTTCGCCAGGTGCGCCGACACCTGGGTGAACGAGAAGTCGATTATGTAATAAATGAATATGCCGCAGCCGGCCAATACCGTGAGGATTATCAGATTAACGAAGAGGCGCATGAAGAACAACTTGGCCTCCTCCTCCGGCGTGCGGCTTCGCCGCTCCTCCTCCAGCCTCTCCGACTCCAGAAACGCCTTCATCTCGTTATACAGTGCCTTGTGCTTTATCGAGGCCGATCTTTCGTTGTTAATGCAGTAATCCCAGCCGCCGAACACCAGATTGCAGTACCGGTAAAACTGACCCTCGCCCTCCACGACTCGCTCCCTGAAACCCTTGGCCGCCGATCGTACGATCGCTACCAAGCTGACGATGAAGACGCTGATGATGGCGCAGACGTAGGAGAGCGGCGAATTGTAGTAGAAATTGGCGCCCATGCTCTCGTAGATTTTGTGCGTGTACGAGCCGTAAAACAGCAGACTGTACTCTAGTATACCGCCGTCTTGCACGATCTTGGTTATACTGCTGCTTTCGTTGATCTTGTTTTTGTACAACTCGGAGCAGCAGGCCACGCTGGCGGTGTTGTTAGGCGAGCACGTCTCGTTCTCCGGCACCTCCAGCACTATCGCTGGCAACACCACCAGCAGGAATATAATCGCGAACAAGAGCAGATTAAGATACATGAGCCACTTGATGAACAGGAAGTACGCGACTATGCCCATCCCAAAGTTACCGCCTATCTTCTTGAGACTGTTGTTCCACAGCTCCATCTTGGAGTAGGCTTCCTTCATCCTGATGCGAAATTGCTGCCAGGCTTTTCTGCGCTGCCACTTGAGCTGCTCGAAGCCCTGAAGTCTTAGTTTCGTAGCGCTCTGAAGTACCGGGAAGGATAAGTTATATGCAAGTCATATTGATTCAAGTTCGCTACACGGAGAGAATTTTCTCTTAAAACTTTACCCTGAAAATCATTTTACTAGTCAAATGTACGGTAATATTTCAGAAAATTCTCATAAAGTTCTTCGAAATGCCGTGTTGTCCCACAATTTTAAAAGAAAATTCTCCCCGTGTGAAAAGGCCTGTCTCCACGATAGTAGAACTTGGTTCAAGCATTGTGGAGACAGGCCTGAAGATATACTTCCTGAAATACCTGTAACTGGTTCTTCAACTGTATCTTCTGAGACATGCACACGGGCATAGCCTTGATCTGCATGATTTCCTCCCAGGTGCGCTCCTCGTTGGACAGGTTCTCCGACAGATCTGGCAGCATCGACACGGCCGCGTCGTGTATGGTGGTCGACATACGCCTCGAGGTCGTGGTGCCACGCGATCTGGTGCTCGTGCGCCTCCTCAACGTCATTTTCGTGTCGTTGCGAATCCGTTTCGCCGTGGCTGCGCAGAGCACAAGCGTGAGAGCCACGGAGAAATTCGACTCGCCTCTCAAAGTAACGTTAAACCTACCGACGCGGGATTTCTTGCTGGGAAGCAAGGTTGCGATGTGCGAGGGATCCCTCTGCAGCGCCTGCTGCAGATCCGCCTCCATGGCCGCCGGATAGCTCTCCTGATAGAACTCGGCACCGGCCTCCTCCCATCCGTGCCCTCGGTCGCATCCTCTCTTCTTCCTCTCGCCGCCCGACATTTTCAGGCTGAGACTTCCGACCAGTCTTACTCAACCAGGTCAGTCGCGCGCAAAAGTCACAATTTTATACGTTTCCTTTCGCATACGTTCGCACGGCTTGACGCATGACTCGGGCACTTGGTCCACCTCCCAATCCAGCGTCTCTTGAGTCTTCACACGCGCCCCGGTAACAGCCGCGGGCAATGTCGCTCATCCGACGATAATAATAGTGCGACAACTGCGGAAAACGTTCAATTATTAAGCCTAATCTACTATGTGCTCTTTGCATCTAGAAACATTCTATTTTGTATCAGCAAATCAAAACGCTTAAGAACTTTGTCGACAACGTAAGATTGTACAATGTATAATAATGTACAATTTATCAATATTCCAAAGTGTTGTGTGAAGGCTCCCGACAAAAAAATATGTAGAAAGGAGAGAGGGCCAATGCGAGCCACAAAATGAACGGAACTCGGTTCTCACAATATAGAATCAAAATTTCTCTTCAACAGCATAAACTTTTCGTCATTAAACTTCACTCACTGATATTAACACAGATAGAAGAAAGACTCTGAAGTCACATAGTGCCACTGATCCCCTAAGCTATCGCCTTATGCTTTACTCGGTCTAAACCAGTTTTTTTTTTTACTGAGAAAGACTCAAAGAAACGTTTATGCTATTAAAAAGAAATCTTGATTCTACACTGTGAGAACCGAGTCCCGTTCATTTTATGGCTCGCGCTCTCTCCTTTCTACATATTTACAATTTATCAACTCGCAAAAATTCTTTTAACGCATTTACTGGCTACAAAATACAATGTTTCTAGATGCAAAGAGCCCATTGTAGTCTAATGTTTAAATCATTCTCCGGAATACACGCTAAAAGATGAAATAAAGTCAGAGTGTACATATATATATGTGTATATATATAAATATATAAATATATACGTTGTACATACGCGTCCAAAATGAGCAGATCAGACGAGATACCTCTCGTTGACGCGAGATTTCCGCCGATCGATACTGATAACGGTGCCCGAATACAACAATTGATCTCCGGCTGTATCGGTGAGCCCGCTCTTGTCGGCCGCACTGTCTCTCGGCGGCGCCGTGATGTATGTAAATGTCGCGCGTCCGTCGGACGCGAAGGCCCACGCTCGGCGACCCTCCGCGATCAACGTGGCCGACGACACCGCGTCCGACGTTTCGGCTCCGCCAAAACCGCGACGGACGAGAGCGGCTCGCGAGGGCTCATCGACGCGGGCCCGCACCTCGGCATCTCTCCGCTGTTTGTCTCATACGTCAAACCCAGCCGGAGCAGACGGCTAATAATAATGACGTCGCCGAGAGGATCGCGCCGAACTCGCGAGGGCCTAGATGGCGTCTCGGGTTTGTGGTCGCGCTCTTACCCAAGGGGAAGAAAAAGTCAGGGTGATGTCAATTTCATGTTATATTGACCAAAATTTGACGTAAACACGGCACCAAATTGATCAAATTTGTCATAAATTTGGTCAATATGACATCAAATTGACAGCGTCCTGACACTTTTTGCTCTCCTTGGGTAGAGACTCTCTAATCAGAGCCTGGACATACGGTATCCAGCTTCTGATTGGTTCGCCATGCTTATGATTTTCCCACTGAATTTTGAATTGACAATTTTAATCCATTTTTACAGTTTTACAAACGACAGGTTATCGTGATTGATTTTGATGCGTATCCCCTTGTCGAGGTGTTACTGCAAAATGGTGCTGCACATCCACCCATTTGAGACTTTTCATTGCAACCTTCTTAGTCCCAGTCTAAAATAGAAAGCGTATTCTACTCATACTTGACCGCGATTGGCCAATTTCTTAAAGCTCAGGGCTTAAATCATCTATTGTAGACTGGGACTTACCGATTGTATTTTCCTAATACTCTGTCGATTTCTTTGATCTCATCGAGACTCTTGATCTTTGCTAAATCCAAATTCTGAGAATCTTGTAAGTTAGAACATTTTTTTAAATTCTAAATTACGCAACCTCCTCGCCAATTTTTCTTACCTCCGCTGGTATTTGTGCATGCAATAAAAAGGCGACTATATTTGGATGTACGTTTAATCTATTCGTCATAACAATATACATACTCCGAAAATATACTCTTTGACGAAAAGCATATGGTATATTGTGCGTTACAAAATGGTAGCTCTACCATAAAAATATGTATCTATGAACTGTCGTCCTGATGGAGAGTCGACGAAACAATTGGCTTAACCGGATGATATCCGGTACCAATTTAAAGAAAGATTTATTTATTTATATATCTATATAGCGCATATATCGCCGTTTGATTTGCTTTCTCTTCCTATAGCGTGACTGCAATTATATTCCGTGCGAAAAGCAGACGCTTGCATAGACGATAGCGAACAGTACATCTCCGGCTTATCGATCAGTTCTACAGTATCTTTCCAAAGTTATCGACTTACTATGTAATTGGACTAGTTTGCACACTTGAGATTCCTTATTATTATACTTTGTAACACATTTCGCTTAAATAAGATCAATAAACGAATTGTCTTGTAAAATTTTGATAGATCAAAACTGAAATACAAATCGCTGAATCTATCTTTTCAAATCATCAAGAAAGGAATTTTTAGAGATTCCACTCAATTTCCTCCTTTTTGCGCAACAATTACTCTTATAATACAATTGTAAAATTGTAAAAATAGACCGATATGAATCTTACAATTAATTAGAGAAGAATGCTTATCAGCATCAAAACTGATTGTCGATTTAAATATGCAGATTTACTCCAACAAAAAGCTATGTTTTAAAACCGATAAATCGGCGCGTTTACTGAGTTGGGAAAAGTATACGAAAATTCACTCAAAAGTATTATTGTTAGGCTACCAAGACGATCGAGAAAGGCATCTTCTCTGATTAATTATAAAATTGTTGTTTGAAACTGAAAGCTTTGCTATCTTCTTCGCAGAACTGCCGATAAGTCGATGACGAATTCCACAGGATTTCTTTCTTCGTGGATCTCTCCGGACGATTATTGCCCGACCATGATCTCGTACTGGGGAAAGGCGATCTCGGAACCGTTGTAAGGTACGTAGCACACGTGGTGGGATTCCTGCACCTTGCCGATGGTCACGGTGCCCTCGTGGTGTACACGGCCGACGAACAGCGGCTCGCCGTCTTCGGTCTCGCCTCCCGGAATCGCGTTCGACGGGATATCACCGTCGTTCACCGGCACCCACGTAGGTTTGCAGCCGCAAAGAACCTACGGCGGGAAACTTTTTGTAAACCGAGAAACGCGCGGTCACACGTTAGATCTCAGTCGCACCTCGTCGACGAAAGGCACCCGATCGGTACCTTTAAACGCCTTCGGGAATATCCCGCAGTTCGCCGAGGCTCTTTGTTCTCTCCAGGTTACTCACCTGGTAGTCTGACTTTCCATGCTCACCGCCGCCCCAGGCGACGTAGCAGACGGAGTGACTGGGCTTCACCTTGCCGGGGATGAGGGCACCCTCATGGTGGGCTCTACCGACGAACAGGGGCTCGCCGTCGTTTCCACCCTCAACCGCGTCGGGTGGTACCATCCCGCCGGACGCGTCGCACCAGCACACGCTTCCCGCGTCGAGCCCACGGACTTCCTGCGGCGCGGACGGCGTCGTGCCGGGATCTACAATCACGTTATGCTCAGCAACGCGGACAAGATTCGAAGTCATTACATCGACACAATGGGGGAAAAAAAAGAGAACAATATATAAAAGTCGCATAATCGAAAAATAATAAAATGCAGCGGTTCCAGTCATCCTCATCCAATCAAGCCATATCCAATCCACCAACGTGTTTGCGTGCACAAGTGATCTTTCGTAAAATTCCATGCGATTAATAGAGCGCGTGTTTAGAGGGAGCGATTGAAAAGTGAAGGCCACAAAACCGTGTGCCACAGTTAACGAACATGGAGAACAATTCAACGCCTCAAAGCTTGATTTCCCTAGTAGCACAGTGCATTGGCTAAACGTTGGCCCAACACAATCAAATATTGGGCCAATGTTTAACCAATGTTTGTTCATTGCACTGTGCTACTAGGGTTCTGGGAAAGGTTTCCAAAAAGCCAGGTACCAACATGTGTGCGTGTGCGTGAGGACGTAACATAGATTTACGTTCGCAATTAAGCATAAGTCTTATCGCTCAGCGATCCCGGGATCGCGCGACGCCTCGAGTTCATCGATGGACGTGAGGACGACTGATCCCGGGCGTCGACGCTGATCTCGGGATCACCGGGGGACGTTCAGAGAGAGAGCATTACGTTTCTTTCGATCGGTAGCGACTGGGGGGTAATGTTCGACACGCAGCTTCCAGTTCCCGGTCGCGCCCCAACCGGTGCGCACGCCGACGTAGCTCACGCCGATGGGGTTCGGGTCTCGCCATTCCATGAGGACGGCGCCGTTCGGACCGCCCGATCTGACCGTGACGAGGCCCTCGAGCCACGTGATCGAGAACCTCTTGTGCTCGCGGTCGCTGAGAAGATTCGGCGTGTCCACGCGCACCTGGCGGGCCGCAAAATTTTCCACGTGAGAGCAAAGACGTGCGCCGAGCACGGAGACCGTTTAACGTTTCCCTAGTAGCACGATATATTGGCGCGGTATTGGGAGATATGTAAATTTAATATCCCCACCATTGGTCCAATATTGTCAGATGGACGCCTCCTCTTATTGAGGCGATGTTTATTTAGGAATATTGGTCTAATGTTGTATCAATATTAGATCAATATTAGACCAACATCCAGTGAGAAATGACTCGTCGATCGATGTCGAAACGATGTCGACATCGACACCGTCACATTGACGTCCATTCAACATCGTCATCGGCGAGTCATTTCTCACTGGGTAATATTCATGTTACATTGTTAAATTTCGGTCAATGCATTTCCTATATACATCTAACGTTATATAATTATTATTGTGCAATATTTGCACTTATTTCGTGGCCAATATTAGCTTTGCATTGGGAAAATATGTACTGGCCAATGCGTTGCCAATAGTGGACCAATGTTTCGCCAATGTACTGTGCTACTAGGGTCACAGTTCAATCTGACACGAATTAGCGAAATCGTTTCGAACCTTGTCGGGCTGTTTGCGATCGTATCTAATAGCCGACGCCTTGTTTTCCCACCCGCCGAGCATGATCTCGTACATGGGACTCGACTCGCCCTTCTGGCTAGTCAACGCGATGTGCCCGTTGCTCTTAGCTTTCACGTCGATCATCACCGAGCCGCTTCGCACGGCATGAAACTTGTACTGTAGCTCGTTACGAGTGTTCAAGGGTTTGCGACCTTGTCGGGTGTAAAAAATTTAAAAAAACAATTGAAGATTATCTACACAAAAGAAATGCAAAGATAGAACGGGGAGAATTGTATCTTATCGTCTTGTAACGAAAATGTAAAATTATTTCTTCATGAATACCGTATTGCTTTCGATACGCTGCTCACCGAATCGAAAGAACCTCCATTCGACACGTTATTTTACGTGCTTATCACTACTTAACATTGATACGATTGACTTTTCAGCGGCCAAAAGCTGGAAAGCGATCGAATACATGAACCTGAAGTATCAATCGGTGTGTGGGTGCCGTGTGTGTATGCGTGGACGATCGAAGGGAAGTCAATCAATGCCTACGGTGCCCCTATCATAACCAAACGTGCTGTGCGTATCGACGCGATGGATTAATACACGGAGAGAATTTTCTCTCAGGATTTGTCGTGAAAATCATGTAATCGTGGGGCAATATGGCATTTCAAAGAATTTTATGAGAGTTTTTTGACATTTTACCATACATTCCACTAGCAAACATACTTATTGTTGGCACATGTGGCTAGATGCCCCTACGGCCGCCACAGTATACATTTTACTAGCAAAATGTATGTACTTGAAAGCGCCACGTTGTCCCACTTGATTTTTCAAAGAAAATTCTCCGTGTGGACGCGCTGCATTCCTGTCGGACCCACATGGGGCAACGGGCATCCGCGAGAAAGGCGTTCTTAATCCGGCGTCGATCGCACGTGATGGGGGGGTGCTAGGATGACACGTGCTAGGATGCCATCAAACGTACACGGGCAGAGAAGCAGAGTCTACGGGACGCCACGTGCGACTACGTCACGCTCTCGCAGGGATCAACTCTCGTGGATTTTCTTTGTCTTTTTACTCAAATACATTACGTACAACCACCGTAACCGCCGCCGCAGCATATGGCTGTGCGAGTGCCGCGATGCCGCAATCCGAAAGGACGCCAGAAAGAGAATCATCGGAAAATCAGAAAGTGATCAATCTTATCTACGGAAATATAGGAAATAATAGGCGCTGATCGTTCTATTAGAGACAGACTCGATTAGTTGGCTCTTTTACTACTTCTACCTTGTGTGACTACGAGTGTCTACGGTTCCCAGCGGGAAATGACTCGTCGAAATAATGTTGAGTCGACTTCGACACCGTCGAATTGATGTCGAATCGACATCGTTTCAACATCGATCGACGAATAACTTCTCACTGGGTTATAATCTGTAAAGTAAGGCGGGGATTACGAGGGGGAGGGCTATCGACGAAAGGGGAGGTTCTGGAAAGAAGTAGACGCGTATATCCTTAGCGCGAGGGGGAGTCCTGACGCCTACCTTCGATGAGCCATTCACCGGTGGCACCCCAGCCGGTGCAGACGCCGAAGTAACCGATCCCGAACGGCTCCGGGTCGGCGTAGTTCAGGAAAGGAGCCGAGGAGCCCTCTCTGCCCACCGTGAGGATACCGTTGTCCCATCTGCGGTTTTGCGAAACGTATAAACGAATGTAAGTCCGTAAAACCTTGCGTCGACTCACGGCGACGGGTTAGAGCGCAGCGTTACCGCCGGGCAATTGGCCCGACGGCTCTTTAATGAACGTGGCGAGCGAGCTACCTGATCCAGAAGCCGCGATGCTCGTCCGCGCTCAGGATGCCGGGCGTCTCCGTCTCCGCCACGTCCGGCTTGGTTCTATTCTTGCGCACGACGGACTTGTTGTTGCTCCATCCACCGAGGAAGACCTGAGGAGAGAAACGCGATCCTCAATTCAACGCTCCGTCGCGCCGCGATTTAATTACCATCGACGGCGCTTTTCTGCGACGTCATGGAGGCCGAAGCTCGTCGTACAAGCCCGGGCTCCAGATAGGATCTGGCGGCGCGAAAGGATATCCGCCGCTACTCCCGTTCTGTACGATAAAAGTCGCGCACCCGCGCAAGGTGCGAGGTCTCACCTCGTACATCGGATCCCCCTCCTGGGGCCCCGTGGTGAGGGCGATGTGGGCATCGTTCGGCGCTTTTACCCGGAACTGGATCTGCCCGGCCGTCACGGGGTAGAAATGGTACTCCAACTTGTCCTCGGTGTTCAGAGCTGGAGAAGGAGGATCGGCGTGAAACTTGATGAAATTTAAATCAGATAACTGCTCGGGAGGAGGGGGGGGGGTAGGGTTGGTCGCGATTAATCGCGACTCGCGCTAATTGGTGTATTATTACCGGACATTTTCCGCCGCCGCGCCGGCGGGGAAAACGTGACGTCGATGCCGAACACCGAGACATCTCGACGCCAGACCGACCCACGGCGAACGGTCAAGAAAGTAGGACAATGCAGGACTCGATCGATATCGTGCGCGGTGATAATCATGCACGTGGCTTACGTTACATCCCGCAATTCGATCGCAGTGTCTTAATGACGAGCCCCCGCGAAGGTCGTCCCGGCGTGATCGGTGGCCACACGCGAGGAGATCCGCGCTTTTAAAAGGCTCGTAAAAACGCGGCGTTATCAATCGACGCGGCGCGGCGCCACAAGGACGAGCCGCTGTCATTTTTATAATCGTCGGCGCAGAAGAGAGGAAAGAAATACGCTCGCACAAATAAGTACACTGATCGCACGGACAAAAATACATGCTGTAATCTACCAGTAACTTCGATGCCGCACGCGAGGTTCTGAATCACCCTTTTCCCCCCCGAGTCGATCGAGTTACGCGGCCATAAATCCCTGTCCGCGCGTTAAATAAGCGACGTATTTTTCCGCCGACGGCCACTCGCCGTAAGAGTTGAATAAACGGCTATTCTTGGCCCCCGTGAGATCACGTTTCTATAGCGGTAATGAAGATTTCTGGAAAGTAACAGCGATCGACGCGTGTCGGCTCTTCCGCATGCGAAAGCGTCCCGTTCCTCGATTTTAAACCGTCACGCGTACAACGGAGAGAATTATTTTCTCTTCAAACTTATCCTGAAAATCACACGGAGAGAATTTTCTTTTCAGGTTTGCCCTGAAAGTCAAGTAACCGTGGGACAATATGGCATTTTGAAGAGTTTGATGAGAGTTTTTTGAAATTTTACCATACACTTTACTAATAAAATGTGTACTGACAATAAGTATAACTATTGGTAAAAAGTATGGTAAAATTTCAAAAACTCTAATAAAATCAGTGGAGGGTAGGAAGGCCAATGCGAGTCGTACGCAGTTAACAGGGCGTAGTCTTTGAAATAGTCTTGGACAATTTAATAACACATAAAACGTAAAATATAGACGTTTCGATCTACTCCGGATCATCTTCGGTGTACAAAACTAACTAAAAATGATAATAGAATTTCAACATAAATTCAGTAGAAAACTCACAACAATTTAAGAGAAGGGGAATACCAACCACACGTTAAAACGTAGAAATATAAGACGAACGTTGCAGTCTCTCCCTTCATTTTGTGGCGATCTTACATTGGTAAGGGCACAACAGCCCGTATAATTTTTCGTGATAATGTCACGCCGAGAAAAGAGCACAAACGACTTACATACGAAGAGAGAGAAACCTCGACTGCCACATGACGAAGGTAAGAGGGTAATATTTTGGTGAAACGTTATTGTTGAAAGGATAACAAAGACCGAGGGGGAAACCGCCGAGGGCATTGTGGTGTACAGATTCGCGGCATTGCTGGGCATTACTAGGCATTTTTGGGTATTAGTTTGGGCATTAGGCCTTGCTGGGGCATTATAAAGATAAAATAAGATAAAATAAAATAATAAGATAAAGTAATGCCCATCGGGCATTAATGGGCATTGGTGTACAAGATTTTGGTCAGCGGTTTCCCCCTCGACATAGACCGAGTCAGAATGTAAAAAGAAAGAACCAAAGGGGGAGGGGAAGAAAGTTCTCTCCGTGTAGCAAATCAATTAGTCAGAACAAAGAGAATAAACGCGACAAAGATAAATATTAACTGAGAAAAACGAAAAATCGTTTTACGCAACATGAATTTTACAGCAACTAGCGCTAATTTTCCCTGAAGAGGAGGTCGCTCGAAGTAAGTCTTCATTAAAAACTGTTTTTCTTACAAACATTTTGTTTTCACGCTGGAGAAAGGATTCACCGCGAACTCGGCCAAGATACCGCACGTCTGATATCACTGGTTCAATTAATGCTGCCATTGTTATTAGCCTTCTGGCGGTGTTGGTGCGAGCGCCAGGCGACGGCCCATTAATTCCGAGGTCGCGCAAAATACGCCAGTGTTAGCCGTGATAGTGCGCGACGTGAGCCCTCTTATCTATTTTTCCCTCGTTTTCCCCTTATTGCGCTCGCCGCGGAAACTGAACTGTGCGCGAGCGGCGCGGCGCGGCGCGAACGTAACGATTATAAATAGTTGGTCGAGTACGTCGCGGTCAGCCCGCAACGCTGACATCATACGCGCCGTGAATGAGGAAGGGATCCGCGCGGGGCGGCTTGGCGTGGCCCACGCCACTCAACAAATTCAGATCCCCTTCAGGCCAGGCGTTGCCTGGACGGCATGTAGATTGCGAGATACGTTCGCCGATACTAAAATCGAGGCTCGTCGCCGCGCGCACCACCGTCTAACGCAGTCGCGCTGATGTCATTCTTATTTCGATGCCAATTACTTCACATTACGCGACGTCCGCGATCCGGAACGATCGCCGCGCGCGAGACCGTCTTCTGATGGCACGTCCAGCCGCGATATCTCGCGAAAAAGGAACGGAAGAAATCGATCGCGCCCGATAAGACGCCGGACTAATCGCCACCAATTCATCCGCCGTTCTCCCGAGGATTGGCAAAGTATTTCGAAATGTTTTCGTCGACTTCTCGTGAATTCTCGAATGCGCGATAAGAACAATTTCGGCGTTCCAGACCGTATCCCCCTATCGCCGGAGGGATCTCTCGCCGGATGTCCCGAGATCGCGGCGGCGCGGCGGCTCGAATCGCGTTAATTTAATGCGCGGCAAATTGATTAGCTGCTGTAATGTGGGTCGTGCTTCTCGCCCAATTAACATAACAACGCGAGAATTAGAGCCATTGAGTCAATTCGCATTGCGCAACTACGAATACCGCTGGTCGCACGCGCTGCTCATCGGGCGCGTCCGAGCGAGCTCCCGTTTATGCCAAACTCTTTCACGGAGCCCGACGTAAATCGCGCGTCTAAGGGTCAGAGCACAAAGCGCAACGTAATAGCTTACGACAAAGACGTAGACGTAAATGTAGATTAGCGCACAAGCTTATGCCGTACTTACCTCCAGTTACACACGACGTAACATTTACGCCATAGCTTAGCTGCGCTGCCTACGTTTACGACTTACGTCTTGCCGTAAGCTGTCACATCGCTTTCGCGCTCTGACCCCAATAATCCCGATGCTCCCCCGAGGACGATTTTCCTTCTTCCGACTTTTTAGGGCTGAAGCGACGAACGGGACGCGCGTCAGGAAACAACGATTGATGCTCGTAACGTCCGAGCGGCTTCGCGCTGGAGAGTCGCGCGCCGGTTAATCCGGTACGGTAAATCCGAGGGCCCCGATAGCTCGACGCAACGGTATGTAGAAACTATTCGTGGAGGCGTTCTGTGCTGCCATTGACCTCGCATGGTAACTGTCGCCGGCAAGGTGGACCGCGGCGTCAAGCGTACACGTTCGCTTCGCTGTAACTTGGCCGCGACAGGTGTCATGTCGCACACGATGCCAATCTGCCACCTGCTCCGACGCGGGGTGCGTCCCTACCGAAATTTTTCCGGCGACGTCACGCTGGTCTAGGCGAAAAAGAGAGAGAGAGAGAGAGAGAGCTCCTTCTGTGAGGCTGATGGCAGAAGATGATCCGTAAACGCAGTCCGTCTCAGTCGCAGACGTAAGGCAAGGCGGAGGAAAACAAGAGAAAGTTTCTTGTATGCGACTTCACAGTTTTTCTCTGCCTTGCCTTACGTCTGCGACTAAGACAGACTGAAGCGTGTACGGATCGTTCTCTGTCATCAGCCTGAAATCTTGCGTCCACGATCCAAGAACTGTGTGTCCAAGTTCCAGTTCCGAGAAATGTGTAGCCAATCAACTTGCATCTTTTGCGGAAAAGCTGCTGGGTAATTGGCTACACGTTTCTCGGAACTAGAACTTGGACGCGGTTCTTGGATCGTGGACACAAGGCTTAAGATCCGATCAATGGGGATACATTTGAACGATGTTATTTCAACGACGTGCCTCGACGATCACCTCTGTAACTCGTGACTGACACCTGACCGAACGTGTTTCCTTTATTATTGTCGTAGTATCTTCGGCTGATTATGAGGAATTCTTGTTTTTCTTACCCGCAAGCTCGTCTTCCTGCCGCGCGTGAGTTATGTAACGACGAAACAACGCGTCTTTTCGAGTTTCAAGGATCGATCGATGAACCGCCTTGAAATTTCGCGAAGAGGAGCTTACGTGACGCGAAAGGGCTCGGTCGGCGGACAAAGGTTACGTGTAATTAGACCCACGCGATAGACCGCTCCAATTTCACGGTAAGATGAGTGCGAAAAGTGTCCGTTCCTGGATTTTCAAAACGCTCCCAGGGATTCCGCCCTGATGATATCCGAGGGAGACGTAGGCACGGGAGATGAAAGGATAACGGAGGAAACGGGACGTCGTAATCGCGAGGAGGTGTCGATTGCCAGAGCAGGCTTGGTCGAGTCGATTAGAACAGAAAGGGTACACGTGACATAGTCACGTACATATTTCGGAAACACAGAAAATTGTTTTATAAGCAATACGAATTTTTCAGGAGGTTTTATGTCTCTAAAAGTCAATCAGTGAACATTATAGCTGTGAATCAGTGAATTTTCACTGTTTTCAATGATCCACCGATTGACTTTTAGGCCCGGTTTTTCATTTTCCAGTTAACTATTAACCAGAAGTTAGCTGATCTCCATCCTTTTCTACGTTATTATCTGAGAAGAGACAGTGAGTCGACTAAACTCTGGTTAACAATGAACCAGAAAGTGAAAAACCGTGCCTCAGTTACTTTGCCCTTAAGTCTCCCTTAAAAAAAAAACTTTATCGAACATTTTTGTTTTACACTAAAGCAAGGGTCCATTGTTGATTCAACTTCGGCCAAAATGTCCCCTTTCCGTTCTCACCGTTCAATTGTAAGGAGTAGATTTTCAATCGAAGAGTCGTACTTTCGGGGAGAGAGGCCGCGAGGGCGGTCTCGCGCGGTAGGGAAACGACTCCGGACGACAAGGGCGACGTGGCGGCCACGGAGGCGGCGAGCGAAACGTTGCGAAACGCAATCTGGAAGTCGGATTACGCAAGGACGCGGTGGGATCGCATTCTTATGACGTGATCACGGGCCGTGAGGCCGTTACACGGCCGGCCGGGGACACGTATCGCCGGACATTATCCAAGTCCGTACCTCTCTCGGCATTCGCTGTCTTCGCATTTCCTCCACTTCGCCGCGATAACTGCGAAGTTTCTCACACACCGATTCCCTGCCTGCGCGCGATAAACTTCGGCGTGAAAAAAGCGTAAAAGCAACGTCGCGAACGTACGTTAAAAGCTATACGACGTACACGCACACATATGCGCACACGTCGTTGACGTTTATATCGATTGTGATTAACATGCGAGTGCCGTCGCCTCGGTTTCTCTTCGCACCGTTTCTGAATATTCCGCCGTACGTTTTTCGAAACAAACGCGGAACGGAAGTCTTGCCTCTTCTCGGCGTGCGGAAACTTGTACTTTTTCGGGAAAACTCGATCTTGCCGCCGGCAGCTGCGGACAGAACCCAGTAAAAGAAATGATTCGTTCGATCGAAACGATGTCAAATCGACGTCAATTTGACGGTGTCGATCCGATATCGTTTCGACATCGATCGACGAATCATTTCTCACCCCGAAATCGCTGAAAATCAACCAATTACAGTCAACTATTCGTTTTAACGGCGATTAGACAATTTTTACCGATTCCGGTATGATTTAGCAGTCACGGCCCTGCATAAACCGGCCTGTACTCCTGCGATTGTCCGGAGAATCTCAAAGAGTCGCGCGAGCGATCGCCAGAGTATCGGGATGCCGGCCGGCTTGTCAAACCGGCAGCCGCGCCCCAGCTCTATATTTAGAGAGAGCCTCTCTCAAAAAGAAAAGGCGCGGTGGCTTCCTAGAGAGAGAGGTAGGGTACTATTTTCTCCGCCTGAAAACTTTTTACCGCCGATCCGGTGCCATCGTTAACTCCGACGAATGGAAGTCGAAGGGAAACCCCGTCCCGTACGATGCAGACTGATCGCCGAAGGCGCGAGGGCCGCGAAAGGAAATCTCGGACGTCGACACGACACGCCGAGGTCCTTCCCTCGTTTTTTTCGAGCAATGTCAATTCAGCGTTGTACGACGTTACGCAATGTTGCGTATCCGTTCGAATCGAGCCTTCGCGATCAAATAGAGCCGCTTGGAAATGGCCGAGACGCAATAATGAATAATGGAATAGACTGCGAGCGACTGTCGCGATAAGAACTACATCAAATTTTATTGCGGGAAAAAAAAGGATAGAGAGGACAAATTCTTATCGTACGCGTTACAAGTCTGCTCGAACTATTTAAATGTACGAGCGTCATGTTAATAGTAACTTAATATATACTAGAATTTGGCAACAAATTATATAATAACAGGTATATTAATATAATTAAATGTAATAATATAATATGCAGAAGTATATGAATCCGCGCTTTGCAAATGAGACACTTACAGACCGCCATGATCGCTTCTTCGGCTGTTTGTAAAGAATCCTCCGGCGAGAGAGAAGACGGGGGACGAGCGCGATGTGCACACCACGAAGGCGGGATTCGTACTGCGACGCGGCGCGCGCGGAATTTTGACGTCTTCCGCCGACGGTGCCGGCCGGCCTGGCGCATGCGCGACGTCCAGGTGCGCGGCGCGCATACGTAAGCGCGCGCTGATTAGCGAGCGGGATGAGTCACGCGGATCAGCGCGATGTAGATCCGCAGATGGAATTCCGTCGATGTCTCCTCTCTGGGCGAGATCACCCTCCCTGCCCCCCCCCTCCTCCCGCCCCTCGTCACCTCAAAGCGAGCCGATCCGATTAATGACGCAAAAAAATAATCGCCGGACCCAAATACAATTGCGTGACGCGGCCGGAGTTGTCCCCCCCCGATTTCAAATCTCGCTTCTGGCAGCACATTGGGAACTAATGCGAATCTAATATTCCCAACGTCGCTCCAATTGTAAAGGCTATTCGACAATTGCGTAAACGTGGTTGTTAGCGGTTGTACAGTGTTGTAAAGCGCAGTCTTAAACTAGCGTTTCCGATTGTAAACCCTGTCGTAAAAGGTGGCTGAACTTGATCTTTCACGGCTACAACGATGTAGGACGTAAAAGCTAACCAATCATTCACGACGTATCGAGGATTTAATTTTAATAATTATCTCCGATAGGAAAAAATATATTTAAAAAATTATGCGACAAAATCTGGACGAAACTCGGAATGCTGCAAGTATTATATTAATACGCACTAATAACCGCGTTTGACTCTCATAGCCTAGTTCCTTTGTAATTTTTAATCAATGCGTCTATTCAGCAATATTGTATCCAGCGTTCACGATTACATTGAGAAATCTTAGACAATGCACTTCCAATATAAATCCAAGATTAGGCATATGATTATTGACGTGCAACTTATTCTGTAGCCAATATTGGCTTTATGAAATATATCGGCCAGTGCATTTCCAACGTGGTCAACGGTGCTACCAGGGGCGTTTCGCTCATCTTCCGCGACGGGCACGTTTGGATCATGTGTGTATATCTAGTCACGAACACCGCTCGCCACAGTAAAAGTTCATTACGTGATTCACGAGATCGCTATTTATCTTTCACGGTGGATTGTTATTATTATTAAGCGCTCATGCATTCGTTACGCAGAACAAACAGCAAGTGGCACGCCAGTCATTGTCGTTATTAGACGATGATTTCATTTGGACTGCGTCTGCTGGCGGTTTTTATACATAGAATAGATGAACTTTCCGTTCGTTTGGCGGTCTTATGACGTGGCGAATTAACGCTGCACATTAATAACTATGAAATAATAAATTTTCAGCGAGCTAGCGCGATCTCGTTTTAGCGATTAGATCAACCATCATGAATAATTCCGAACGGATTCGCGCGAGGCAGAGTTTAACACTTTAACGCACTCGTTGAATCGTATCGAATAGTAAAATCTATGATACGCTCTCGCGCACTAGATTTACAAACTGCTCTTTGAAGGAAAAATTGATCGCACGGACGCTCGTTATCGCCGGACAGCAAGTAACCGATTACCGGTCGCCGGTTACCAGCGAGTGTTGCTGAGAAACGGATCCACTTGATCCTCTGTAGATACACAAGAAACTCACGGTTAAAGATACACGACTGTCGTAACGAGAATTTTCTTTACTTCTATTTTAAGGATACCGGTGTCGATGGTTTTTATTTAATAAGACATTTCGACTGATCTCTTTCGCAAGCTCGTATCCCGATTTCATACAATCTCCGGTTTTAAAACGCTAATTCCAGAATGAGCGTTTAAGCGCTCCAAAAACCGAAAATTGCATAAAATCGAGATACGAGCTTGCGAAAGAGATTAGTCGAGTTTCTTCTCAGATTTTCTTCGTTAGGAAAAAAACATCTTTTACCAAACTCATGGGACATTTAAAAATGCTCAACGTGTTGCGCTTACTATCATTCTCGGTTTCCTCATTGATGGCAGTAATTGTGCCCTACGTTGATTGCGAAGGTTGAAGACGATTAATTTATAATGCCTTGAAAATTGCGTACGACGCCTGTATGAAAACCGGTCGCATACTCGCGATATTACGAGATGCATAATTGCAGACTACAGCATATAGGCGCGTCTCGCTGATACGGGGCGGCACCTGGCTCACTTCTATTAGACTGCTAAACGTCTTTTTTAACAGCTGAGACTTGACGTCAATTACTAGCTTCGTACCGACAATTTATGCATCATTGCGGCATTAAAGAACGCGACTCGAAGGAAGCAAAAGGGATGGCCAATTGAACCAGCAAGAAGAGAAAATAGACACGTGATACTTTGCCCGAAATTGAGTTAGCGACGGACCCTTACTCTACCGTAAAATCAAAATATTTAAATACTCTTTTTAATAAGAATTTACGTTAAGGGAGTCCCCTCTTTACAGGTCAAGGTACCATAAAACTGGAAAAGTGATATTACGTTTATAAAACAGGTTTTTCTTTTTTTAAATGTATGATTTTGTCACGTGTAGCCCTTCTGTTCTAAACGATTCAATTGTTAATGATATCCCGAAACACTAAGGTCCGGTGTCACCAACGTCGCTTAACTTTACCCTTCGGAAAATATACCTTAAAAAATCTTAAAATTTTACTTTAGAAAAATGAGAAATGTGAAGAGTAAATTTGAACACTTTAAACTTTTATTTAGGGTAAACTTAAAACTTACCTTAAGAATTTAAAGGAAGACTTTAAGAAATGGGAAAAGTACGTGATCACGAGACACGGTAGTGTCTCGCGCCAAGTATAAGCGACTAAGTATAAGCGACAAGTATACTTTACAACACCGCGTGCGGTCTTCTTACGAGAAAGTGCTATGCCGCGCGGCCCTCTAGCAGAAACTTCGACAGGTTTGGCTGTCTAAAAATTGCTCTAAATTTTTTTAAGTAAACTTTTAACTTCTTTAAGTAAACTCCTAGATTTGAAAGATTACATTTGAAAACTTTAATGTCATTTAAAGTAAATTTTCCCAAGCTTAGCTCAATGCGTTCTTTATCTCCTTCCAACTGTTACTTTAGAAAGAGACAAACATAAATTAAACTAACAATAAGATTAAAGTTAAGCGACGTTTGGTGAAACCATGGGCCTAAGGTACGTAATATATTAACGATTGCTTGTGCATTCCTTAACTCTGCTAAATTTCAGTCTCTCGCGATCTTATATTTTCATATTCAATAGTTAATTATAAACCAGAATAACTTCATCTGCGATTCCCTGGCGAATGTTATTAACAGTCAGTAAATATTTAATATTGTTACATGAAAAGGCGTGTACATTCGTATCAACGTTCACGCTCTTAGACAAAATATTATTCTGACGGAGGAACCAGTGTGCGAGCACTCGCGGCGGCAGAACTAAGCGTGTTCGACTGCTGCGAGTGTGGTGGGTCTCAGCGATGCACGTGCACCGTCAGATGCAACGACCGGTTCCGAGGGGAACCTACGTAAAAGCGCCGGCGAGGCGACTACTCAAGATGACGAGATCTCGATGCTAAGACTCGCGAAGAGACTGAGATTTAAAAACGTTAAAATAAACGGTGAAAAAAAAATTAAGGACCAAGAAACGGTGTCTCCGACGCCGGAGTAATCGCGAGCTCTTGGACAACTCTCTCAACAAACGCGTTGCGTCGAGAAACAATCCTGCTTCCCAATCACTTGTATCGCGATGTACGGCGATTACGCCACCTCGTCATCTCCTTGACGCGAGACGTCATCCCGGTGTAGCTCGGCGGCGTTACGGCATTTCGAGGAATCGCAGGTGAGGTCTCCTCACCTCGATCGCTTCCACGAGTCGCGCACGCATTCACCCGTACACGGGTTTCCTCCTCGCGTCCCATGAAACTGGTCCCGCGAGCGCCAAAGCCGGGCACGGTCGAGCGTTCGCGGTCGCTGGCCTTGTACCCTTTCGTACGACGGAGCGTGTCACGGGATAGAGGCTCGCTCGAGACTTTCCACAGCGAGAAGTCATTTTCGGAGCGGTGGATCGCAATAAGAGTGACGGAAAGCGTGCCGGATATTGCTGTACGAAAGCAAATAGAATGGTAGTTTATTTTCTCTTTCCGTCTCTCTCTCTCTCTCTCTCTCGTCCTATCACAGTCGAGGCTACGAAATACAAATACATATCATATCTCACATCGTCAACATTAATTAGAATATACATGTATTATATCTATAGCAAACAAACAAAAACCGTACGACGAACTACCGTCGCGACTGAAAGAGACGTTGTCTTATAATTTACAGAAAGAACGAACGAGTGATTCCTGAGAGCATGTATGATAAGGTGTCCAAAGTGATCAGCATAATATATTCGCAAAGTAGTGTACGTAAAATTTGCCAGTATATGGCACGAAATAAAATTTATGACTGTCATCTATTTTAAGTGACTGTTGACCATGGACGTAGTATAAGTGGACCCAGCATGCGCTCTATGAGAAACGAAAACAGTCTATCTCCACCTGCCAAAATTGTCCATGTATCAAAGACGCGCCGAAGAACAATGTTGGACATGGCAATGAAGTCCCTTTATTCTCTGTCTCACTCGGTCATTCTGGCTTCACTTTTTCATAGAGCGCATTGTTGGGTCCATTTATACCACGTCTACGCTGTTGACGCACAAGAGAGCTGCGGCTCACGATTTATTTTATTACTTTCGTCTAATCCCCGTGGAAAATTATTTTTTCCTGGCGCATTATGTTGCAGAGTTAAAATTAGAAAAACATGTCATTTTTTGTTCTGAACAAAACTTACTAGAAAAAATTCAGATTATCGAGAAAAAATTTTGCCAGAAAAGATTCAGATTATTAGAAAAAAATTTATTAAAAATCGGTCTCGACGCTTTCTCGAGAATCAATCAGAAAAAAAAGCAAAACACCGAGGAGAAAAATTATTATTTATAAAGGCTGGTCGACTCTATAAATTTAATAATTTAAGCGATTGCTCTACAATCTCGTCAATTTCCTCTACTTCTTATCTCACGGAATTTGATTGATTTCATTTCCGAGAGGCTCGTTTTATCTGTGAACACATGTTGCTGTTATCGTATGCAACGTAGAAGTCGCGTCTGCTATAAAACGCGGCATATCGCACTTGTTGCTCGGCGCTCGACAAATCTCGGCGCGATTATTTTGACAGTGCGAGCTCACAAAGCGCCTATGCTTAAGCGCACGAGGCTTGAATGAAGCCGTACGATGCCTCTCACCGTCTGTCTCGTGCGTCAACAGCAGTTCACGCGATTTAAATACGACGTTATTAGCAGCTACTTTTTTTTTAGACGCCGCGGCAACGTAACGTACAGCGTCCAAGGTAGATCGTTGTACCTTGTACCCGCGGTCACTTAAAGGCGATATGAGTCGACGTGTCTCGCGGACGGATCGATCTCGAAACAGAATCCCCCTCGCGCGATACACTAAGCCGTTGTGTGTACGCAAACAATTCACGACTTGTTATTAGAGGAAAGCCCTCTATTATGAGATGTCGGGTGTTCAGCATCCAATTTTACAAATTTTCTTTAGCCACGATTACACTCACGATCTAACAATGAATTTTCCATTAAAGCAGATTTCACTCAAACGGCAATAAATTCATGGTGAAACCGACAGATGATGTCCATTAATTTAGCAGAAACCTGTGTCATCTCATATTAAAAGCTTATCTCATAATAGAGAACTTTCCTCTAATATCTATCGATCTACCGTGTTATGTATAATGCGATGCACAATGATCATCGCGCCCCGTGTCGCAATTATCGTTACACGCTGACTTATCGTCAGATCGCGCGTCCGTCTCCCCCCTTTTTTTTCTTTTTAAGTTTACCCTTTTATGGGAACGCCTTTCAACCGTTACATCAGCGTATTATTTCTAAAAATTCCTTGAAATTCGTTATGCTTAATCGCAAACACTGAATCCAACACTAGGCACTTAAACTCCCTCAGGTGCTGAATCTTTGTAAATTTTCCCTGACGGAAAATATGCGGGACGAGGGTCGGGATCGAACCGAGGACCCTACTATTACTAATCACTCGTGTTAGCGCAGAGCTACACGTCATCTCATCGCGCGCGTCCGTACGCACATGGATACAAACGATTCCTCGGAATTCCGCGTACGCGTGTAAGCAACGGTTTCTAATTAACTAATTAGCGAGAAAGCGATATTCCTCGCGCGAACAGCGAACGTTCTAACGTTGTTAGACTACTTTTCACTCTTATAATTGCCCTTGATTAAAATGAAACGTACACACTCGTATATACACGCATATATATGTATACATTTATGTTAGCGACTGCTACGGCGTCCCTGACCGAACACGCGTTTCCTCTCCGTCGAAGATATTCGTAAAGATTCGAGATTCGCCCGACGAGCGATTTTAAGACGATCACTGAAAGGAGGATGAGTCGAACAGTTCTCAGACGAGTAATAACTAAGATTAACTCTAAGATTAACGATCATCTCTGTCTCCCTCTCTCTTACTCTCTCAGGGACGTGACGTTGCATTCAGACGAACGTTTAAACGCGCGAGTCCATCGTTCCTGAAGATGCTGAAAGTCGATAATTACCTGTTGTTGCCTCCCAGAGTAGTTATTTATTTTTTTCAACGCAAATTTTTTTAACGACTCGCGTAGCGTACCTACCGTCGAGGAACATCCGGCTGGTCAGGGGTGCCTTGTATTAAAAGGATCAGCGTCTCGGCAAAAAGCAGACGCGCTGTGTAAAATGTGGACGCGGGCTATTTACCATTTTTCTTGCGGTCTAAGGTAATTTTTGTAAAATCGGCGCTTCGGTTTCGCGCCTGCATGCATCCACGGTGATTGTTCGATAACGGTGCCAGTTAGGTTGTAAGGCCTACTTCTTGTCGGCTTACTGTATAATTGCATCAAATAACACGGGCGTGCGCGGGCGAGCTTGCGGCTCGCCGTGCGCGAGCTAAAGCTATCGGGTATTCCCGATTCGTATCCGCGACAGGAACTTCCTGCTCGCAGCGGAAGTCCCCGGGCAGCGACGAAGTCGGCTACGAGAAAGCAAACGAGGCTGGCGGATCGCGAAACGCGGGGCGAGTTGTCTTCGCTGGATTAATCGGAAGGCACGTTGAACGTTGCGGTTCGTTAGCGGCCACATCAGTCGCCGCCGGTACGGGCTCGATGGTTCGCAGAAAGCTCTGAGAGGATCGGAAATCAGCCCGTCTTCTGTCTCTTTCTGTCTCTCTCGTCTGTTGAGATCTTCCGGGCGGGGGCCGACCCTCAGAAACTCCCGCACTCCCGCAATACGCGATTTCCCAGCGGCAACGGTGGACGGAAGTTGTTGATCACCTGCAGCGTGTCAAAGAAGAAAAAGATCATTATTATGTATAAAAAAAACGGGGGCGTGTCGCGGGGTGCTCTCCGTCGATCCGAAATATTATACATTCCCGCTCGTCGCCGAGACGACGCGGTGGCCGCGGTCGTCGACGTCTAAGGCGTCCTGGGCGCCTAAAAATAGCTGCCGTTGACGGTTCGCGTATATCGAGCGAAGGAGAGAGAAGAAAAAGAGAGAGAGAGAGAGAAAACGCCGACTCGTTGCGACGATATGCATCTTTCGCGGCTGGAAAATGGTAATCACGTCGCCGCAGAGGCGTTCGCCGTGTCACGCTGATCGGAATTCATTTATCAAACCCGGGGGGAAAAGGATATCGCGCGGGAGGATGTCGAGGGAAACCGATACGGGGAATTTGCGGAATCGTTCAGTTGCGGCGACGAGCGGCCGCGATGCGGGAAGCTGACCGGAAATTAAGAAAAAAAGAGGAAAGAAATCGCAACGTGGAAACGAAGGTGCGATCATTCCTACGTTATACTCATCGCTTACCACTCCGTGGTTCTCGTGGCAAGGGCACTCCTCGCCACGTGGAAACTTTCGCAGATTGCGGAAGATGTTGAGCTGATGATGGGACACCTCGATGTACTTTTTAAAGAGGATCCAAGTCACGCTCTCGTTGCACGGCGGCGTCGTCAGCGAGCCCAAGTACGTCCAGTACCCGTTGTCATCTAAACCAGAGAAGAATTGAGATCACGGTTCTCCCTCGCGTGTATTACGCGAAAAATGTGAAAGCGAAAGAAAATTTCATCAAGAAAGGAACTGAAACGTACAAACTGAATTTAGAAACGGCCGTAAGTGACGCGATAAAGAGACATTAATGCGACTGCTTGCATCAGCAACAACATGCCGTTGATAAAGCTAGCGTGACACGTGTTATTTCATTGGATCGCATTTTCCTATTTTAAAACGATCGCGTTTGCGATCGTGATTTTGTCTTCCGGCGCGATACAGCGGAATTGATACCGAAATAGCTTGTGTCGTATCGCGTTTCATTTGGAGGGTCCAACCGCGTCTCGAAACCGACATTCTCGTGATAATGTGTACGTCTTTTGAGTTACCGAGATATCTCCCGCTTTCTGTTATCCCACGCATCGTCGCGCGAATCGTAATTCAGTGGAGAAAATTACCTCGGGAATAGAATTATACGATTTGATTAATGTACTGTCCGCCGGAGAAGCATATTTCGTGTTGGTGCGGACCCTCCGTTCGTCTTATCTTTCGGTGTCATCGCTAATACCCGAGCGACATTTCTCCGAAATAATATCGATAAGTAACACTAACGAGGACAGGTGAACGCCTGGATAAGGAACCACATACATTGGAATAGTCGAAACACATCCACGAGTACGTAACGTCAGACATATCGCTTACGAAAGATAGAGAACCAGTGCGCGCTAAGCGGGACTAAATTATGTGGACACTACGATTATTAGCGTGTGTGACATTCGTGCAAATAATTCGCTTACGTAAAATAAAGAACCCGAGTCGAGTATTTGATCCCGGAATGGGCCTCAATTATTCTATTCTGTCTTCATTTGGACCTCGAAGTCTTACGAAACAGCGACTCTTTTCAGGCCTATCTCAGGTCAAAAGTTCCATATATTTTCTCCGACGCAAAGACCTTATTGTACAGTTCGACCTCATTGCTCCCGATTCATTCAGAAGTTATACGAGGCCAAACTGAGGCCGAAATATTCGACTCGGGGAAACAGCGAGCAAGATTAAATTACGAGGACACTATCTCTAAACTGCGTGACATTCGTATACAGATAAACACGTACAAGTGTGCCGTACGTAAAATGAGGTGACACTTCCACAAAATCGACGTAGGGATGTGCTTCGCGGAACAGCTGCTCGTCGCGCAAATAAATTCATTGTTCCTTACGTCAGAATATGAAGAAAAAAATACTGCTACGACGTGCATCGTCACATCATGCCAATCATTCGGTGACACGCGCCCAACCCGACCGTGCGCATTCGGCATGCAAGGCTTCGGAAAATTGGAGGCTGCTCGTTGAAAATAACCGAAGGCGTAGGATAATTGCGCTCGAGGCGTTTTCTTTTTTTTTTCTCTCTGAGGCGTTGCTGAAAAGCGGCAGCCCCACGCTCGAGCGCGCAGCTTCCAAGTCCATTCTTTCTTTCTCTCTCTCTCATTCTCTCGCACGAACTAGTCCAAGGCGATACGAACCTTGGAAATCCCATTTGTTCTCGTGACGTGGTATGATTCGGTCGGCCCAGCGCATGCACGGATTCACGCATCTCTGCGTGCCGGCCCGTCCGCCGCGCACTGTGCGTGCCGTGCGCGACGCGAAGCGAGAGCAGAAAGTATATGCGGGAGAAATTTCGTTAGTCGATGCGTTTAATGCAGAGGCACGCGCCAGGCGATTCTTAACGAACCGCTAACGAATGGCTTCCGTAATCTCGGAGACGGTCCTATTGCTTTGGCACCGTTTAATGTTAGGTCTAGCTTGGCTGCGTAGCGCGCCAGGATTGTACACAAATATTATATATAATAATATATAATACAAAAATATTATATATTATTACAAGCATTTTATCTTATATATTATCCTAAATATTTTGGTATATGTATAATGCACTTAATTTTATATGTACGTATATGTGAATTAATTGAAGATGGATGCGATGAAAACAATTTTACTTGTCTTATTTTTGATTTCACCAACGGGGGGGGCTGTTTCTCGTTCGAATTAATTAATTTGCATAGGCCAGGACTATTACGCGTTACATTATACGATCCGGATCAACGCAAACAGGTTTAAGCTACAACTGAATGTTACAGGAGGAACAACAAGAACACGGTTCACGGACACTATGCATCGACGAGTAGACGGAATGTTTGATCAAAGAGACGATTACCAAATTACCCGGGCGATCATTCGGTCGATCGTAACTTACCGGGAAGAAGTTTACCGGGGTCGATAGGTTCCGTAATTTCCACGACCTCGTCCTTGTGCGAGACGTACGGCAGCAGTCGCGCGATTTTGTCCATTTCTTCGTGGGTTTTGCCGACCTGCAAGTAAATCGTTTGCTTTCTCTCCTATCCATATATTATGGCACGCGATTTCACGCGGCACAATTAAACCGTTCTCTCTGCTTGGGGTGAGAATTTTCTCTTCAAATTTACCCTGAAAATCATGTAATCATGGGGGGGCTTTTTGAGAAACTTTATGATACATTTTACTCGTAATTATGCTTAGTATACGTTTGACTAGTACATGTATGGTAAAAAAAAACTTATAAAGTTCTTCAAAATGCCGTGCTGTCCCACGATTACATGATTTTCGGGATAAATTTTTAGAGAAAATACTCCCCGTGTAGAACAAACTATTTCCAATTGAACCCTCCGATCGGCAAAAGAGATACTGCATATCTACGTTCTTGAAATTTAACTGTGATTTAAAAAACAAAACTTCGCAACAACGTGCGAGTCGATAAAAGACTCGGGAGTTTATCGCGAATTTAATGCGCTCTCTTATCAAATATCTGTAAGTGGTGACCGTAATGACCGCGAAATAGCGACACGAGGAACAAATAGGCGCGATAAAAACACGCTCGACATCGTGCCGTTGATTGCGCAATGTCATTTTTAGAATTGTCCGGCGCATTGTCGCCGTTGCACGTGGCGCATAAATTTCCTTCGACACATGTGCTCGCGCTCTTACGCGACTTCAACGTGTCTTCGAAGCTGCGCTACGTTACGTAACAGGCAATCACGATGCACCGCGCGAGGAAAGCTCGCCTCGCGAGTGTTTTTTTCTTGTTCTACGAGATTTATTGCGTCCGATATCCGTAAAGGCCGAATCAGACTAGCAATTGTCGACGCGGATTGGTATTTGCGATTGGCATGGTAACAGTTGGAAAGAGACAAAGAACAAATTGAGCTAAGCTTAAAGTTAAACAACGTTGGTGAAACCGGGCCTTAGGCTGGTGGCAGAGAACTATCCATAAACTCTTACGACTGTCTTAACTGCCTTACGACGTAAGGCAAGGCAGAGAAAAACTTAAGTCGTGAAAGTCTCTTGTATACGACTTTTCTTTTAACTTGTCTCACGTGTACGACTTAAGGCAGTCTTAAGCGCTTACGGATCGTTCTCTGCCATCAGCCTAAAGACCGAATCGGACTAGCAATTGTCGACACGGGTTGGATTAGGATTGGCGATTGTCTTCTGGCCAATGAGAGCGAGCCAGCCAGCGATTTAATCCACTCTCATTGGCTAGAGGACAATCGTCAACCGCCAATCCCGATCCAATCCGAGTTGGCAATTGCTAGCCTTTACTCCAATCGGTCAAATTTCAATCTATTCTCAATCTCAATCCGTAGTCTGATACGGGCTTTATGTCGCAGCGATCTCGGTCGCCGTGCCGGCGAGATGTACATACATACATCATTTGCGAGAATAGAATTTTGCAATTGCGCGATCCTCGCGCGTTCCTCCATGAGATACCGCGAGCCGCGCGCAGCTGCAACCTAAATATTGGACACAGAGCGCTGTGCAAAGCGGAAGAGGATAATTGCCGTTGCACGCGATCGAGGTATTCTTTCGCCGCGAAATGAATGCGAACGATAGCGTCGCGTACGCGGCCGACGAAAACGCGCGTTCGCGTGTCTCGTTTTCGAGTCCGATACGGCGACACGGCGTAATTACGTCTGCGACTCGCGTTTACATAATCGACCATTCGGCGACGATCGGTGGTGACACCTCCACGGGGATTCTGCTTGTTCAGCACACGTCTTATGTAAAATACTCAACTGACTATAGATGGACGCGATAGTCTGGCGAATATAAACGAATTAGAATCCCCGAGTGGAAGAGGTGTGGCTTCCGCGGCCTCACGACACGTTTGTATAAAGATTTTACGAGCCAACGTATTAAATGTTCAATATGCGAGACACCGCTGTCGATGAAGACGAATAAGAAATAAAAAAGGGAACGTGCTTCTTTTCTTTTCATTATGGAGCGAAATAAGTTAGATATTGTTCTAATCGGAACTTATTTTAACTGTAAGGACGTATTGTTTCAATTTTTTAACAATTAATTGTAAGACGTTTGTCTAACGAAGACGCTACGAACCTTAAGGAAGACCCCAAGAACGGCCAGACCGTCGGAAGCTTTTGCGGCTTCGGCGAAAGTCTTGTATTTGCTGGTGTTCCAGTGCACAAGATGTAGCTGAAACCAACGTTATCCTCCAATGAACCTAAATCGTCGCGTATTAAGTCTAATAGCGGGCAATCACGCGAGGAGCGGAGCGGCAGGTCGGTTGGCGACTAACGAGAACTTAATCCTTCCAAATAGCCAATTAGGAAATATCAATTTCAGCATCTGTACCGTCGAGAAAGCCCGATGATCGTCAATAATTCTGTTTGAATTATCCCGGCACAGCCTTAACAATTAACATTAGAAATGTGCGACTCGAGGATTTTCGACGTCGAGTCGAATCGAATTTGATTTCCTTTCTTCGAAACAATCAGAGGCGAGAAATCATAGTCAAATGATTAACATACTCCAATATCCGGTACTCTAATGTAACAATCGAAATTTTCGAATAGCTCATCGTAGAAATTCAAATTTGAATCTCACCCGATTTAATTCAAATCAATTCAAATAGTTCGCACGTTTTTAGTTAACATCTAGGATATTCGGCTGATGACAGAGAACGATCCGTAAACGCTTAAGTCTGTCTTATTCGTAAACGCCGTGAAAGTCTATTGTATACGACTTTAAGTCTTTCTCTGCCTTGCCTCACGTGTAAGCGTAAAAGTAATGTCATATGTAATTGGAGGTAAGTACAACCTACGCCAAAGCTTGTGAGCTATCTACGTTTACGCTTGCGTCTTTGTCGTAAGCTATTACGTTGATTTTGTGCTCTGACCCTTAAGCGTTTAGGCCTCTTATACAATACGTCGTATATTATTGTCAGATGTCGGGACGTAGTCCATTTTTTTAAAGGAAATTTTCTCATTGGACCATCGACTACGTCCTGACGTCCGACAGCGACATATAACATATTGTATAAGAACAGGCCTCACGAATCGTTTTCTGCCGTCAGCCTTCCTCTTGACCGCGATTTACGTTACTGGATCGCGAAGAAAAGTGGTCGGCATCGATAAATGATAATTGCGTTTGACGGGTGGTCGTTAGAGAGATTATGTAATCAGGTAACTGGACGCTCTCTCTAAAATCCCGCGGATATCCGTGCATCCGATCGACCCAGTTTCCCAGATACGGGATCGCTTATAGAGTCTCATCGCCGTGTGGAGTCTCGCGCTGAAGCGAACGTCGCGTCGCGGGATTTTCCGGCGCGGAAATGAGCGTGTGCGAAGGAAGAGAGGACGTGCGCGGCATTCGAGTCACTCGGCGAGCCATTGGCGATCGCCAATTGACTCGCTAATGCGCTTAAGACTCAGGTCGTTCAATTAGCATCAGGTTCGGGGCGGAGAGTCGCCGGTTAAAGCGGCGCGTGCGTTTCCCGGAGAAATCGCGACCGTTCGGGAAAAGTTTCGCGTTTCCGATTTCAAGAATAATGATCTACGCGCGCGATCTCAAACGTGTTTTGTCGATCGACGTTTATTCGCGCTGCTATTACGCATTAACGAAGAAATTTTCCATGCACTGAAGAGTCATCGATGTGTTCGCGACCGGCGGCGGGGTCAAGCTGAAGTCAACTATTTACGATAGATTAGAATTCTCAATGCCGTGCAGACGATTGCATAATCGGAAGCGATTTAATCGCGAGCCGAGCGAACATGCGTATTTCGCGTTTGACGAGATCTCCGAGGAAATTCCCATCGATGGGCGCGTTGTTCATCATTTCGGAATCGCGTCAGGAGCTGTGCTCCGGAAAAAAAACGTTATTTTACCGCGGCTAATTATTCGCATCCTTCTCACAATGACCGCGAGCGGGTGCGTCGATTTCTTCGGTGTCCGGCGCGCACCTCGTTACGCGAGCCGGCTATTATTCGCGCACGCGAATGGCAGTTTCGATGATAATGCCCATTATCGTTTCCACTCGGCGCGTGCTCGTTATTTCTTCCCTCGTTATTCGCAAAGCGATACGCGCGGCTTCGTGGACGGACGCGCAGCTGCTAGAGCATAAAAAGACCTTTGACACGTCATTTGGCATTCTTGCGACGTGTGCGACGATAATAGCGCATTATTTACGTGATAGTTGAGACGCCCGCGTAATTATATTATTAATGCGAGTCTGTCCGCAATTAACATCTTTACGCTGCATTTTGTATACTCCATAACGTTTTTATTTATATCCGCGGGAAAACCATCTCTCTCTCTC